CTTTTCAGTTTATCATCCGTTCGCTTCGAAGTTGGCCAGCGCCTCCAACTGCCAACTGGCGCCAACCGGACACAAAACTTTAACTCAATTTCCGGCGATTACACGGACAAAGTTATACGTCCTGAAATGGTAAGCAGCTTTTAAGCCGTTCCTTTGACGACTTAGCGGCTTTCGGCGCGCAATGCTAAAGCTATTACTTGTTGACACGCGGCGTATACGCAACTTTTAATTAAACCGCCAACGGCTTTTCGGGGATTATGAAGCAACCGAAAAATCCCAGAGCTGCCAACCAACTGACTGAAGACTCGCGTGCGACTGAGTCCCAGGATCCAGCAGCTGGTGTTTTTATCAATGAAAATTGTTGCTTGCCTCCATCGGCATCGGCATCGGCATCCTTTTCCCGAACGGAGGATGCCAACAAAAAAAAAGAGAAATTCCAGCAGCGAGCAGGCGCGAAAGAGAAAGTACTTTCCCCGCTCTTAAATGCATTTTGCGGTTTTAGCGTCCAGCAAAAGTTGGCTTGTTGCCTTGTTGCCTTGCTGGCTCATATTTGCCAAGGCTATTCACATTTCATTACTGCCACTTGTGTGTTGTTCTTGAACTCGTCAGACGAAGACTTCCCCGAGATTGTGGGTCTAGAAACACGATATCGGTCAGTCATTGGCTTCTGTGATTTTCGGGTGGTTCAGGTGATGCGGTTTGGGTGCCTAAGGGTTTTTAGCACCACCGAGTGGGTGTTCATTGATAAATTCGAACTATTTTCAGCGCATTTAATCCATGGGGTCTGTTTAGGTTGAGGTGTGCGTGTCAAAAGAGCCGCAGTCCAACAGCATGGCTCTTAATTTAATGTACCCGAATACCATTATGCTTCTGTTGAGTTCCGAAAAGATGATATTAGTTCGGTCATCAACGAAGTTATCAAAAACGTAAGGGCTTTCACATTGAAGTCTTTCAATTTCTTTTTATGTCTGGTTCCTAATTAGTTACTTTATCCTTTCCTGCGTCATAAATTGATTAAATTTAAATGCAAATAGCTTCAACGTTTTGATCCAAAGTATTTAGCTTATAAATATTTGGTAATTAGCAAAGTGGCGTTAATTTTATTAAATGCAAGACTAGCTTTAATTTTCGACAGCATGTGAATTTTAAATAAGGTAAACCAATTACCATTTTTATAAAATCAAAAACGGAACTAAAGATGTTTATTTGCATTAAAATTTAAAAACATATTTTTTAGCACCAACTAAATTAAACATTCAATTGCACTTCAGCTTAAACTTATTTACGAGGTTGAGTTGGCAAACATATAAAAAAGATAATTACAGAGTATTAACCTGCCCATAAACACCTTGTTCTATTGTTTTTCGAGGAATTTATGCGGTTGACTGCGGTACAAAATAGTAGAGTTCGAACGGCGATGACAAACTGGCAACATTTTTCTGGTTTGGCATCGTCATGAACCATTTGAGAGCCCGTAAATTGAGCAAAGCCAGCCGCAGCCAGTCGGCAGTTGCACTTTAATTAAAAATAAATACGGATAAAGGCCGCCTTCCACCGACCCCACACCTTTTCCCCCCTTTATAGTATAAATGCCAACAAGTCTAATTCTAATGATTATTGATGTGGCTGCTGATGGGTTGCCTGTTTACTGTCGCCTGGTTTTTCTGATCTGAGCTCTCTGACCTGTCCAACAATGATTTTCCGTAGTCTGACTAAGAGGAGACCCGGCCACAATGCCGGTCAAATCTCTGGGTTAGCCACCTTTGCACGACCAAACTTTTTACATTTGTGCCGATTTCATCATTTGTGTATATTTATTTTTTTCGTAGTTGCATGTTGTTTTATTTTTTGTGTTAGCTGTTGGCAAGTGCTCTTGGTTTAACTTGGCCAAAGTGAGGTTGTAATCAGTGAAAATAAAAGCAACCAGCTCTTAATGGATGTGTACTTATGGGTCAGTGCGATATTTCAATACCCTAATATATCCTAAAAAATATTTGTAAGCTTAGAGAAGATATACAAAAATATTCAAAGCTTCAGGAATATATAAACAAATGTTTTAAAGTTTTACCCTAGTTTATTTTTATGCTCAACATGTTCCAAAAACTCCATTACAAAACCCAAATTACATTTTTATTAGCTTAAGATAGCTTAGGAAATGTGACAAAAATATTTATGGCTTTCTGAAAGGGCATCGCAAAAGATTTCGGATTACAAAAACTTCCCAGACACGGGTTCATATTGTGTATTTCACACAAATCTCGCAGGTTATCTTCCCGGGTTAGATATTAAAACTTTTGCTTTGTGGCACTAAATTATACGACATTTACGCATCCGCCGCCGGTTGGTAGTACATTTTGTTTTCAGTTTGTAATGCGAAACACGAAAAAAGCACTTACTCTCTCTCTGTTTTGGATGGGGTCTCTGTCTCTGTCTCGGAGTCTACTACTTCTGGTTCCATCGACATTGCCCTTCCCTTTTTTGCCTAACCCAAAAACCCGAGCAGAGTAATTAGTGACTTGTACGAAAAATAAGAATACAAAAAGAGTTCATTATAAAGCGGGCATAAGCGTAAGCGTAAGTGTTCTGTGCGCAACTTTTCTAGATTGTAGACTTTGTGCTCGGGGAACCAGACATTTATGTATGTTGCTCCCGCCTGACAAATCACGGAGGTCGTTTTAATACACGCCTCACTCGCTCTTTCGAGTCTCCCAGTTTGCCCAGATGAACGACAATGCAAAATGCTTAACAGCTCCGCTAAAAAATTTCCATTGCTGAAGCCGAACTTCGCCGGATGACTCAGTGGGTAAGAGCGCTACAAAAGTACCCACCGATTGTTCCCCAAAAAAATAAACAACCCAAAGATCCCGAGCAACCAACGCTTGAATAATTGATTTCCTGTTTATTAATTCGTTTATTTGTTGATTTTGTTAAAAATTATGATCAACAATTTTGTCGTTTATCTTCAATTTGTTCTTAAAAATTCAAATTCAATTCTTACAAAATTTATAGGATTTATCAATGATTCTGCAATTAAAAGAAATTTTTTAGTTTAACAATTTTTCTGGTTGAGCTTCAATCTGTGTGATAAATAATTCTGATCTCTTTAACTATGTCTCTTAATTTATGCAGGTTTTGCCTAGACTATTGTGATTTTAAATTATATAGATTAATAGTTTAGGTAACACATAAACCTGATAAGTGTATAAATTAAGGGTTACATGTTTAAATTCTAGACAACAAATATATGTGTTAATCCATTTGCCACTTTAGACAGAATGAAGTCGAGATCCTGTTTGGCTAGAATAGATAAGTCTTAATAGAAATTTAGTTCTAAATTCCAGCCCTTCAACAATGGCCCTTAATTTATGCAGATGGCTGTCTAGACGCAGTAAATAACTCAGAAATAAAAAACCATAGTAAAATTCAAACAATCCAAGAGATATCAAAAATCTGTATATAAATTAACATCCGCTTTTTAAAATCCAAAACTATAATAATTGAGAAATTTTGTTGGTCGGAGTAAAATATAAATTTAGTTAGGCTAAAATAGATTTATCGTTTAGCATCATGTAATTATGGTTTAGAATAAAAAAGCAGATCAAAATTCAACCATTTCATTGATCTCCGGCATTCAGAGCTCAATAAGCTGAGTTGTGTACAAATAAAGGGCTCGCTTTTTAATTTACAAAGAACAATTATCGTAATGGCGTTGCGTTAATCTGTTTGCCAGTTTTAACGGAATGAGCATTATTGATCGGTTCGAGTGTCACGGGAATGGGAATTGGTTACGCAGTGCAAAGCAAATAAGCTGCACAATGCGATTAGCATGCAATAGTAATGCCATTTAATGTGCCTTGTGCATTGCCATTGCCCTGCGATTTGTGGCTGCGACATGTGATGCCAAGATAAACAACAAAGCAATCAGGCTAAGTATCGCACAGATGTGAAGATAAGCCCTTCAACACCCTCACATTTCACATCGCCAGCCACATTTCACCAGCCACATTTGAGCAATTGAGTTGATCATCGAAAACCTGCGGTTTTGTAACCTCCTCGACTCAAGTCCTCACTCTCTTTCGATTTCGAGTGTTTGGCCGCTCGATTGTCGCTCAAACACTCGTCATTTCGCTTTCCAGTCGCGTCTTTTGGTCTTTCCCCGGCTTTGGATTACCATCTTCATCATAGTCATCCAATTTGTTATTTACTCATCGCCGCTTTGCCCAAGCACGCACGCAATTAGTCATTCAGCTATAAATTAATGGGGTATTCGTTCACCCGAATAGTTCATACCCTCTGCTACCTCAGATTCCTCGGCATATAGAAGCTATCACAGAGACATAATGATATAGGGCCGAACTAAACTAACGGAGAACTTCAAAAGCTTATAGCGATAGTGTAGAAGTATACCTATGGTTGATGAACTAGAAACCATTTACAAGAAATAAAACTTTCATTAATGTTTTTATTACCTACTTACTTTAGTAATTTGTTTCTAGGAACTTCTTTAAAGATTGTGTAACCGTACAGACCTAAAATACTTTTTGATGGGTAAAAGGTTTTAAGCGCTTTCACGTAACTCTTACGACCAATAAACTTTATAGTTTAAGTAGAGCTATTTCCAGCCTTTTTAAGAGGCCAATATTTTCCGTTCTGTTAATTAAACATTTTAGTAGTAAGTAGTCTATTTTTGAGAGATATAAACGCGTAATAAACGCTCATTAGTAGGGGATGTTTAGAGGTCGATGATTTATAGTAACACTTTCGTGTTGTTGGAAAACTTTACCGTTCATAGAACAAACTTGAGTGGAGAAGCTTTACGAGTTTACCCAAAACCCAGTGATTCAATGGCAAGGTTAGGGCAGCATAAAGTCAACCGGATGGTTAACCTTTTAAATTTTCTTCGGTCGTCGGTTGAATTGGTCGCTTCTTCGGCGGTCGAGTGGATAGGAAAGTTCCGTCCCCCGGGCTCCAACTCGATTGGCAGTCAAACATCAGAGGCAATCGTCGGCAGACACAAAACCCACGACGAGGTGGCGATATAAGTTGCGGGTTCGTCGAGGGCCCAACCGCAGTTGTGTGACCGCGTTCGGCGGACGAGCACGGAAATCAAGACAGCTGGACAGTCGGACAGTCGGACAGCCAGACATTTGGATTTGTGCATTACCTTAGATAGTTACAGTTCGTAATTTAGTCGCGGCCCGTGACAGTGAATCGAAAGCCTCGAAAGATAAGGCCTGTGTTCCGGGAAAAGTGACACCCAATGCAAAGTGAAATCATGGGGAAACCGTGTCGCAACTCTACGTTGGCAATTGTCATTGCCCAGATCTTGATTTGTGGTGAGCTATATGGCAAAATAAAGGTGTAATTTGATAATAAGGCAATGTTGACAAAAGTGCGTCAAGCAAAATACGAGGCATTTGCCGGCAAAGTGTTCTCATAACCAAGTGCAGTAAATATTTAGACAATTGTCAGGATCGTGATAAGCATCGTTACACGCAAAAAAATTTTATAATAACTATATGATAATGGAATTCAACTCCAAAGCAAATGTTATAAATTTTCGTTTTGTGATGTCATACAACAAATATGTGAATAATTTACTGTGTAGACAAATACTTATGATTACACCGTATCTAACATCGTCGTTAACAGTTGTTAAATCCCAAACAATGTGTTGAATATCGTTCGTATCATTATCGACTCATTACTCCCACGATTATCTGTGCTTTAAATCAACTGAAACCCGCAGGAAATCACGGTGTGAAGTTTTAATGATCTTACTATCAACAAGGGCTTAGAATACTTCCACCATGGAATTTTTAATATATTTATAGCCACTTACAAGTTGGTCACCTGATTGATCTTCGACCTTCTACCTGCCATTCGGGTTTCTTGATTATTCGTCACTATAGCCAACGATGATCATCAAAATCAGACATGCCCAAAACACATGATACCTATCGTAAAAAAATCACAATGAGTAAAAGAGAATTTTTTTAATGGGAGGTGTTTCAAATGAGCTTTTCAATTATCCCATTTATCTTTATTTAATAAGGATGGGAGCCGATTTGGGGAACAATACACTAAACTTGCGGCTAATAGAAATTAGCCCATAATTTACTTAAATTTGCCATAAATAAGGTAACTTGTTAATGAGAGATAATTCGGTTTAGAGGTTCTGTTAATTTTGTTAGCATTTTTTGTGGCGCACAATTCGGCTGATAGCCTCGTCGAACATAAACCATTTTTTTTTTTGGCTTTTTGTATGCTAATTAAAACAATTGCAAATCGTGTTTACAACTGACAGCTGCGCCCTTTTCTATGGGTGGAATAGTTCAGAGAAATTCGCCGCAAGCTGATATAAACTTTACACTGTTAATTGTTGCTCGATTAATGATAATTGAATGAGCAATTACCACTGAATGTTTGAACCCGCTGAACTGATTCCCAATGACGACAGACGACGCATTAATAAAAAGTGCAAAATTAATAGGACACACATATAGCATATTTATAGCTTTCGCTGCTACCAAAAATAGTTGATGGCTTGATTAAACAGGTATCACTGATTACACACCCACTCGATGTCGCAAAATGTCACCGAAGATATCTTTCAATTAACACCTGCTGGGGGTTCGATTAACTGTCTCTGTTTGTTTTTCCAAATTTAAATATCATTTTAGATTTGATTTCTGTGATAAAAGCTTAGGTTTCCAGATTTACTTATTTAATTAACCTATTTGTATTTTATTTAATACAAACAAATCTATATTACTCGTATTATTATCATTTGTTTAGCTTCGGTTGCCTTGGCCCAAGATTTTGGCTATGATGGCAGACATGGACCTGCGCATTGGAGCGAAGATTACGCAAAATGCAGTGGAAAGCACCAGAGTCCCATAAATATCGACTTGGTTAACGCCGTGGAGAGAAGATTTCCCAGGCTGGATTTCTATAATTTTCATGTGCAGCCGGAATCCATTCAAATGTCCAATAATGGACACACAGTGCTGGTGAAGATGTCCTACGATGAGGATAAAATTCCGATTGTGAGGGGAGGTCCTTTGGCGGAGAAAACTCCTTTGGGCTATCAGTTCGAGCAGTTCCACTTCCATTGGGGCGAGAACGACACAATTGGCAGCGAGGATCTGATCGATAACCGGGCTTATCCCGCCGAGCTTCATGTGGTGTTGAGAAATCTGGATTATCCTGATTTTTCTAGCGCTCTGGATAAGGATCACGGAATTGCAGTAATGGCCTTCTTCTTCACGGTGAGTGTTGATTATTTGGCAACTAAAAATTATAGGTGCTAAATTGCTTTCTCTTTTTGTTTTAAGATAAGCAATAGGTCCACTGGCGGTTATGAGGATTTCACTAACTTGCTTTCCCAGATTGATAGAAAAGGCAAATCTGTGAATATGACAAACACACTTCCCCTCGCAGAATTTGTCTCGAGTTATTTGGAGAGCTACTACACCTACACTGGTTCTCTGACGACTCCGCCTTGCAGTGAGGAAGTCACTTGGATCGACTTCACAGTTCCCATCGACATTACGGAGCAGCAGGTAAATATTATATTATATAATTTAGAAACTACAAAAAAAAAAAAACCCACAAAAAATCTCATATATGATAAATGTATAAATTTGATCCTACATTTGTGTATAATAGTGCAATGTGATATGATAGTAGTAATACTACTTTAGTAAAGTAATAATACTTTGTAAGGTGCGATGCAATACTAAACAGATTGCCAGGTTAATAAAAATTAGCACCACATTGGCAAGCATCTGATTTAAATCTTATTATTCTCTCACTTATAGGCTTTCATTAAACATTGATTAAGCTAAGACATTAAGTAGACATTAACCAGACATTGACTAATAATTCTGAAACTAATTCTCGACTTTGTTTTTTCCAGCTGAATGCCTTCCGTCTGCTGACAGCCAACGATGACCATCTGAAGAACAACTTCCGACCCATCCAGCCGCTGAACGATCGCACCGTGTACAAGAACTTTATTAAAGTGCCGGTGAACAACATGGGCTCGATTCCATTGGTGAATGCTGAAAACGCGGCAGGAAACTGGAGGCCCCTTTCGCTGGCAGTCCTGCTTTCCGGCTTCGTCCTCGCAGCGCTGTCAAGGACCTCGGCTATTAGTGGTTTTTAATTAGAGTTCTGCGGCGGGGATTCGAAGGTTAAATCGTTAAATGCCTAGCATGCGCTTAGGCGTCCAATTAAGCGCTGTAATTTACATTTTCCGCTTCTGTTCGTCGACGCTCTGTTTGTTGTTTAAACACGGTTGCCGGTAATTTCCCCGGCATGGGCACGAACTCCTGCCGGCAGGACACCAATATATCTACGGGTAAACAAACCGAACGGACGGACGGACAGATGGGGGAAAATTATTAAACGCAAATGGGCGAGGCTTCAGCTGGCACGATACCCTAACTCATCAATTATGCAGCACCTCGCACAGGAATTGTCAACCCAATCGCATCCGAGCAAAGAGACCTGTCAGTGCGAGGGGTTCGGACCCACTTTGATTGCACATTGTGATTTTAAACGCTTGGCACAAGCAAGGCTTTTATTTGTGTACCGTAGGCTTAAGACCTGTAAACATGGCACTGTAATTGTTTTGTTGTTAAAATGTATTTGTTTGAACAGTCAGAATAATAAGAATCCCTTATTATTAGTACTTTTAAATTATTAATAATGTATTATGTATTATAATGTATTTATTTTTATTATTGATAAGCGTAATAAAACCTTTTTTTGTAAAAGTAATTTTATGTATTTGTAAAATAATAATACTTTTAAATACATATTGAATCTTAAAAGAATTGTTTGTTTTTTTAAGTGCCAAAAGTCGCTTTGAAGTACCAGGCAAACAGAATGCAAGAGTTGGTGGCCAATTTTCATATTTCTGACTCGTTCCCTAAATTATGCTACATATTTTAATGGAAAATTTAAACAGCCAAACAACGCCAGCTAATACATTCTGTTGGCCTGGTATTTAAAATCTAAGTTTCACAACATATTCCACCAAACTTCACTTTAAAGTACCAGGCGAACAGAACGCAATAGTAGGATGCTGCTTTTACCTCACTTTAAAGTACCAGGCGAACAGAACGCAATAGGAGGGTGCTACTTTTAAGATTTTCCAAATGCTTCCAAAAGTGTGCTCCAAATATTATTGAAAGTGTGTAAGACAAGAGCAACACCTCATTTTGTACGAGCCCCCAAAAGAATGATACAATTTTGAAAGTTTTAGTTTATTTTACATAAATTTTACCCCTTCCGAAATTCCCCCCTTTCCAAATATCCACCAGTTCTAAGTCCGTAACTTGTCTTATTTTAATCAGATTTTGATGTGACAAACCTCAAAATGTTTCTATTTTTATTCTATAGCAAACTGCATAATTAGAAAAAGTATCAAATAATTTGATAGTCTAAATATAAAAAAAATTAAAATTTGTTTCAATCTTAAAATCAAAATAAGATGTTTCAGGATAATGTAATTAACTTTTAGGATGTGTATGTATCCTCACAATTCCATTTTAATTCCATGTTTATTTACTTTGGCACAATTTGTAGTCGTGAGGGCAAGAGTATTGTGCTGGCAGAGGAGTGTACTTTCTGATGACCCCATGACCCCGGCTGTCAGTTGAAGCCTAATGAATTATTGCAAGCATGTGCACAAATCTATCAGCAAAATATCAACATTTGAATCCAAGTCGAAGAGTTCGTCTGGCGAAAGTCGAGCTCGCCAATATGATTTATTATTCATTACTTGTGGCCGTAGTAAAAACGGTGCGGCCTTCCTACAGTAGAATGCCATAAAAAATATGGGTAAAAGAAAGTCCCAGGATGTTCTACTCAGAGGACACTGTATTTTTAAAAACGGATTGATCATTGTTGTTTGTCATTTTGCGTCTAATAGCCTTGTCCTTTCGGAGCCTTTGAACTTTATGTACGACCCCTGTTTAATTATAGAATAATTTGTGGCTTTTTAATTAGCTTATCATGGTTGTTTGTTAATGTGATCGATCTGCCTGATATAGACTGTAAAACATGGCGATATTGCCCTCGGCCTTCTGAGCAATGCTGCGCAGTGGGAAATCGGAAGTTTATCTAGATATGAAATGAAAATAGCAATACTATTAATAAAGACCCGCCAGTTTCCGTTTGTTTTCTATTGACTTTCAACTCTCTCTCTGGTTGCGATTGCATTCGCTGTTGTGACTTAATTGATGGCTGTGGCACATCGACATCGGAATTGGAATCGGAATCGGTGTGAAATCAAAGTATTACGAAACTTTTCCATTGCCGCCCAGCTTCCCCGGAATGGCCGTACTTTGTGCGAAACGCTCCCCTAATAGGTGATAAGGTTTATTGACGGCGATCGTTACAAACTGACCCCTGATGGTGACGAACGGCGATACTGCGCCTCGGGGAAGCTTTGGAACAAGCCCCTCCGGCCCAAATCCCTATAGATGAGCTATAGATGGGCTACAGATGAGCCAATCCATATGGAAATATTCTCAAGTGGCTGCGATCAGTCCGAACCTTCGTGGGCAGTGTGAAATCTCAAGCTTGTAGTTCGCACTTGAGGCGTGTGCGAATCCGAATCGAAATCGGATTTGGATCGAATCGAATCAGAATTCAGAATGAGAACGGAGGGGATGGGATCGACGTCATGTAGACGGACTGATAACTTTTCTTTAGGCAATCCCCCCTTGATGGCACATTAAGCCGCAGCTTGATGACTGTGTTCCCAGATTGCGGGGCGATGTTTCTACTTTTAGACGTTCGCATGATCGCTGGATCTGGAGCGTTGGCTTTTGGCTACGGATTTGCTACTTTCCTGACGGTTGTTCAAGGTTAGTCCGAGATCTCTACGAGGAATTTTTGGGTGCTTAAGGCGTGACATTTGATCCAGGCCAAAATGATTGCCCGATCTCCAAGGTTTCAAATCCGCCAAAGTCAGGTTGACATTCCTCAAAGTTGTACTGCACAAAAACAAGAAGAACAGGATTTGCTTTGTAAACAAAGTTTTTTTTGTTTTTGTGTAATGAATTTATGAGATACAAAGATATATCATGATAAGAAGGGGTAATAAGAAATATCAATTTAGGGTCTTTAAAAAAATGATATGTTAGTTGATTCCAAATTACTTTTTAATTTCAAGACTACCATAAAAAGGCTTACTAAATGCTTACTAATAGTTGTGTGAATGTTTCTAAAATATTTGTAAATTTAAGTAATAACTTAAAACTACTACTATTCACAAACTGTTCCTTAAAAATCATATTTCCATTCAGTAAATCATGTTCTTATCAGTCGAGTTCCCATAATAATAAAATGCACAAGTCCTCGCGCAACGAACCCAATAATCAGAGTAGTAATTCATTGCCATGGCCTTGCACTTGATCCAGATATTCATACATAAGTGCCACAAAGTCGTTATTTATTTTTATAGTCTGCTCTTCGATGATATCAGAAATGTGCAGCTTCCATTTTTATGATTTTATGGAGAAAAAATGCAGCTGAAGATAATTTAAGCAGACGTTGTGTAGGCGTTTGAGACTCCTGATAAGGCGTAATAAAATGTAATGCAACACATGGCATATAGTAGAATAGTATAGAATACTTGAGCCGAGTTTTAGGCCCAAGATTGATAGTGATTGGGAGAGAAGTACGGGAAGCGGTGCAGGCGACTCTCGTGTTTTGAAAATAACAAACGTACTATAAATCAATTTCGAGTACATTTAGAATAGAAGAGAATGTACTATATGGAATTTGATTGTGAATTCCGTTGAATTTCCGATGGTCGGCAGACTATAAAAGTGCGAGGTCTCAGAGCCAAGCGATTTAAAAGTGTTTTGCTCGCTCAAGTGCGCGGTACTACCTTACAAAATATCAAATTATTTTTTGTTATTAAAAAATAATTTTTCTTCAAAATGAGAATCCTGGCAGAGGTATTATCAAAGTTTTTAAAATGTTTTTGATTGTTTAAGTAAATTAAAAATGTAATCATTAGCACAATGTCCACCTTCTGGATCCTTCGGAGCTGTTGCGCCCTGAGCCCACATTTGCTGACAAGAATCCTTCCAAGTTCCGCGACTACAGTGTGGATACCACAGATCCTTTGAAGGAACGAGTGCGTCAAACATACCGCCAAATGCATTTGAACCAAACCGTGGACTTCGTCAAGGGTATGTTACAAAACAAATAAAAACTAATAATAACAGAGCTATAATAGAAATAAAAATTAATAATAACAGAGCTGTAAAACAAATAAATATTAATAATAACAGCGGTATAAATTTAAGCAATTAAAAATGTATTTAGTAAAATTTAACAACAGCTCAAGGTCTTAAATTTCAATTTTGAAAACTTAGAAATTAAAAAAAGAGATATTTTTACCCAATTTTGAGCTTTTTTTAAAATATTTTCCTCGGAAATCCAATGACACCTAGACAAAAAATTAATTTTAATTCGTGGCTTTACGGATCTGTTGATAAAGAAATAAACAAGCAAGAAATAAACTTTAGTCCTATCGAGTTTGAAAAGTTTAGAGTGTCCATCAAATATTTTAAAATCAAAGTTGCAAAAAATATTCTTTTAAGTGTTTTTTTAGCTCAAGGAAAAAATTTCTTACTAAAGCTTGTTATTTATAAATTTATTATAAAATATTATTCATATTAATAGGGCGCCGCGATCGCTGGCTGAAGTTCGACACGATGAAGATGACGGTTCGCGAGGCCCTGGAGAAGCTGAACGACCTGGTGGATGAGTCCGATCCGGATTTGGATCTGCCCAACATAATCCACGCCTTCCAGGCCGCCGAGCGTGCACGTGCCGAGTTCCCGGAGCACGACTGGCTGCACCTGACGGCCCTCATCCACGATCTGGGCAAGATCATGGCCTTCTACGACGAGCCCCAGTGGGCGGTGGTCGGAGATACCTTCGCCGTGGGTTGTCGGTGGGGCGACAGCATCGTTTACCGGGAGGAGAGCTTCGAGGGCAATCCCGATGGGGATAATCCCGCCTACAACACCGAACTGGGCATCTACCAGCCCAACTGTGGTGTGGACAACCTGCTGATGTCCTGGGGACACGATGAGTACATGTTCAATGTGCTGAAGCACAATAAGACTAAGTTGCCCCATGTGGCCTGCAACATCATTCGCTTCCACTCGTTCTATCCGTGGCACAATGGTGGGGACTACAAGCACCTGGAGGCTCCCGAAGACGAGGAGACCAAGAAGTGGGTCCTAATCTTCAAGTAAGTTAATTACTATATCATGTTTATCCTGTTTATTAATTATCCTTTCTGCAGTCGCTACGATTTGTACACCAAGAGCGAAGTGGTTCCGGATATTGAGGCTTTGTGGCCTTATTACCAGACTTTGATTGACAAATATTTGCCAGGAGTCTTGGAGTTCTAAATTAATAACAATGATGTCTTTTTAAAAAAAATCCTATAATAATTTACCGGAAACCGTTCATTTACCAAACGATTTCCTTTTATTCTTAGATAACAAATATACTTGTAATCCTATATAAGACTTGTTTATATATTATATATATGATTGTGTTAAAAAATTTCGCTAATATATTTCGCCTACTTCATAAAGAAGAATCATAGGCATTAGCTATTTTGGATGCATACTACACATTGTTTGTTGTAACTCCAGAAAAACCTGGTCATCATTACCGTTCTTTCTTCTTTGGAACTTTTTTGGGATTTCCCCAGGCGCAATCAATATTTATTCTGGTTAGATTGGAGAGGTTGGGAGGCTCACCAAGATTCTACGACCCAAAAACGGCCAGCTCTTTTTGCAAAGTTCCTAAACATCGATCGCCCCTCCCTCGGCCAAATTCTATTATGCCGACGAAACATATTTCATTGATAAGAACCTTCATGACTGCACAGCAAAAATTTGGACACAGTTTCATCGTTGCTGTGTCGCGATACGTTTGGTTTCTCCGCTCATTATTTAAAATTTCAACTTATTATATAAATATATATATATATTAATTTATATATATGTATAACTAAAATACGTCAAGTAAACTAAGTATTTTAATTATTATGATAGAGTTAGATAGAGTAAGAGTTAGACCTTCCGTTCCATTTTCGGATGAACAATACAAATTTGACTTTAGATGTACAAATTATTTATTTGTTTGTGATTATCAAATTAAACTTTTCAGCGGCGAGATTCAGCCCTTTTGTTTTTGTACACAATCACCCGCCCATAAATTTTGGCACAGTTTCGGTCTTGTGGTCCAGCGATAGATTCGGTTGCTCCGCTCAACAATATCACTTAAGTCAAGGAAGTACCTAAATATTGCAAAATGACGAAAAAAGTTTGTTGCTTACGGCCGGAAACCTTTGGCGTGGTAATAGGTTGTCTTAGCAGTGTGGCGTCCACATTTGCAACAACCATGTTGCCCTTTTTTTTGGCAGCAAGAGTTATAGGTAAGAGTTAGGGTAAACCAACAGGCGCATATGACCTCGAATGTGTGTGTTAACCTATAACCTTTGTGGCTTTCAGAATTAACGATTGGCGTGATTCTTCTGCTGTTACTAGTGACGAACATTGTGACATCGTTTATACTTTCAATAGCTATTTTAAAGGTAAGTCAGAAAATATACAACAAAATATTTTCCAATCGGAAGTCCAGTATTTGTATCACATTAAAAAAATCTTTAGCCTCTGCGAAACACCAGATAGTCTTTGGTATAGTCATTTCTTATTTGCTTTCAGAAACAATATCATAAAATGCTTCCCTGGTTGATAGACAGTGGATTGCTTTTGTTCTTCCTCACTATTCTAGGAGTTTATGGATTGATAATGTTTATCCATATGAGTGACCGTATATTTTTCATAATTTACAGTAGCTAAATTGGTAAGCTTAACTCTGACCACACAGTATTACGCTCAATCCCAATACACACCGCTCTCCATTTTTCTCTTCACAGTTCTCTGCTGGTATATTTACTATAGCATGTATTCGCTATATAAGATTTTCCAGGCCTCCGAAAATTTACAAGTTCAGAATATTGAACTCGTCGATGTTCCCACAGCATAGCATCATTTTTTATTCATTATTAAGTCGATTTTTTATGCCAGTCTTATTCTATCAGTTCGCACTAGAATTTTGCTTGAATATTTCCTTAAATATAATATAAGATTCTTTTCGGGGTGCGCACTTATTAGGAAGCTGAATTTAAATTTTCTCTTTGTTTAACTTTTGTTTTGATAATATATTTTTGAAAATATACTTCCTAAAAAGCCCACTGTTTTGTAACGAAATATGGTAAAGGTCTTGGTTTCTTGACCTTGAATTTGAACATATTCGTAAATAACTAGAAACAATTTTTTCCAAAGTGTAACTCGCTCTCTCCTTTCCTATAAAGCTTTCTTATCAATAGATGTTATTGCAGCTTAATTGTTGACAAAAATTGAAAACACTTTTTAATACCCTGTCTCCACCTAAAGCTAAAAACAGTTTTTCCTCCAAAACAAATTATCAGTTCTGTACTGAAATACAAAAATGTAATTATATTTCCCACTAAAATTTGATAGGGGAAAAAAAAATTAAATTTACTTTTTTTTTAAATTGGGACAACTTAAATTGCATTACGCAGCTTGCATGATTTTTAAACGGTTTCGCTTAAAAGTGCATTTAATAATGCCATCTGTGTAAATATATAAATAAAAACTACAGCATGCATGTGAAGTAATTAATAAAGTTGACTTGAGTGCTATTGTATAATATAGATAGGCACTTTCGGTTGGGGTGCATGTCTTAAAATAAAATGTAATCAAATCAAATATTGCGCTAAAAGTGGAAATGTAACAAACCTAATTTGTATACGCCTGACAAGGAGGAGTTATGCCAAGTCAAAGTCAGGCATTAGAAATCCAATCTCATGGCGTGCATAGATCTCAAATGGGACTGGTTGTTCAGGTGGCTGATAAGCCAGCAGATCGAATAAAAGCGGTCGCAGTTGCCACTTTTCAAGATAGTTGCGGTTTGAATTCAGCGGAGTGAGCAACATGAACTGCGTGAGATTGTTCTTGGTGATTAATTGCCTCTGGCTGGGTTCATCAGCAAGTGATCCGGATGATGATCCCCTATTGGTAGAGCTCCCCCAGGGCAAACTACGTGGTCGTGATAATGGGAACTACTTCAGCTACGAGTCGATTCCCTATGCCCAATCCCCCACGGGCGACTTGAGATTTGAGGCTCCCGAACCGTACAAACAAAAGTGGTTGGATACCTTCGATGCCACTCAGAGTCCAGTGGCATGTCTTCAATGGGATCAGTTCACCCAGGGAGACAACAAGTTGGCTGGCGAGGAGGATTGCCTAACAGTGAGCATCTACAAGCCAAAGAATAGCAGTAGGATTAGTTATCCGGTGGTGGCCCACATCCACGGAGGTGCCTTTATGTTTGGAGGAGCTGCACAAAATGGTCATGAAAACGTGATGCGTAAGGGAAAATTCATTTTGGTGAAGATCAGCTATCGTTTGGGACCTTTGGGATATATTAGCACCGGAGATGCGGACTTACCTGGCAACTATGGACTCAAGGACCAACGCCTGGCTCTCCAATGGATCAAGCAGAATATAGCCAGCTTTGGTGGAGAACCGGAGAACATTCTGCTGGTGGGTCACTCCGCCGGCGGAGCTTCGGTTCACCTGCAACTCCTGCGAGAGGATTTCAGCCAGTTGGCCCGGGCAGCGATCTCGTTTAGTGGAAATGCCCTCGATCCTTGGGTTGTCCAAAGTGGAGCACGAGGACGAGCCTTTGAGCTGGGACGCATTGTTGGCTGTGGATTGGCTGAGGATTCGGCGACCCTCAAGAAGTGCCTTAAATCCAAGACGGCCAGTGAAATAGTAACCGCTGTTCGAAGTTTTCTTATATTTTCCTATGTGCCCTTTGCTCCATTTGGAGTTGTTGTGGAGCCAGCAGATGCTCCAGAAGCTTTTCTTACCCAAGATCCCAGTGAGGTAATCAAGAGCGGAAAGTTTGGACAAGTGCCCTGGGCTGTGACTTATGTGACCGAGGATGGTGGCTACAATGCCGCCTTGCTCTTGGATGATTGGAACAATTCCGGAAAGACATTGCTTGAGCAACTCAACGATCGTTGGTTTGATTGGGCTCCGTATCTCCTATTCTACCGAGACTCTAAAAAAACCATCGAAGAAATGGATGATTACTCTCGGAAAATTAGACAGGAATACGTGGGCAACCAGAGGTTTACGGACGATTCATACTGGAAATTCCAGCAGATGTTCACGGATATCCTTTTCAAGAACAGCACACAAGACTCGTTGGATCTTCATCGTAAATACGGAAAGAGTCCCGCCTACGCTTTTGTTTATGACAATCCAGCGGATAGAGGAATTGCACAGTTTCTGACAAAGAGAAGGGATATTCATTTTGGTAAGAAATCCCCACTTGTTATTATAATATATGAGTAAACATTAAAATATATATTTTTTTACAGGAACGGTGCATGGAGACGACTACTTTTTGATTTTCGAAAACGTTGTAAGGCATGTGCAATTACGTCCGGATGAGGAGAGGATTTCGAAAAACTTCATCAATATGCTGGCGGACTTTGCTGTTAGCGACAAGGGCACTTTAACCTTTGGCGATTGCGTTTTTCAGGATAATGTGGGCAGTGATAACTTCAAGTTGCTATCCATAACTAGAGAGGGATGCGAGAATAAGGAATATGCAGAATTTCCCTAATAAAAGACAGCCAAAATATGCCCGATTAAATAATTGTTTTATTATTATAAGAAATTATAACAAAAGGCCCACTATACCTTAGAATAATAATAATAAGAATAAGGGATAGAGACAAAAAGTATAGTCAGTGCCGGATTTACGGTGGCGGTTTTTGGGGTTAAACACAGTGGAATATCGTTATGAATATTTAATGATGCAATAATTATAAATATATATGAACTGATATAAAGTTAATTCCCGAGATTAACATATAAATTCCCCAGACGAGATTTACACTGAAACATTTTTTTTCAGTCGAAGTACTGTAATCATTTTTATAAGATTTTAAAGCGGTTAGAGTGTCTTTACCATAGACAGTTTGTAAATTAACAAAAAATAATTAATATATTGAGATGTAAACATGTAAATGATCGCTTTAATCTTGGCTAATTGGCGCTTACCTGTGTGGTTTCTGCTCTCGGATCTGAGATCGCCAATCATCGTGTTGACCCCACTGCAGTTCGCATTTGGCGCTGATCAAGAACGGATGATGGATAGTCGCAATCTGAGTCCCAGTTCCACATCCACCTGTGTGTATCTGCATCTTCTGGTGCTGCTTCCATTGCTGGCAGGTGAGAGAAGATCCTCGAATAATAAATAATACATTTAAGAATAGAACGATTGAACGTTTCAAGTTCGCTGTGGTTAAAAATTGTTTTAAACAAATTTGTAATTACGCCTATCGTTCACCAATATTTATTTTTATATATCATTTATATAAATAATTTGTCTAATAGTTTTCCATATTTTTGACTATTGTTCATATGGCAGCTACAGTTGGCCGTATTTGATCAAATTTAATTCGTAAAAGCAAAAGCTAATATACGTTCCTAGAAAAAAGTGTATCGTGGTTTTTTCTAATTCCGAATAAACTATTTTATGGGATTTCTAGATTATTGTGACTCACATCTATTTCTCACCTAATGGTTTTTTTTGGTTTACAGTTGAGGCCTCACCAAGGCCTCACGGTATCATCTTCCCCAAGTATTCCTTCGATGGGTGCTACCTGGATGAGTCCTACAGTAGGATTGGATGTTGCCGGCGCCTGGAGGACTGTCCTAGTGCCCTAAAGGCTTGGCTGGAGAGGCGCGAGGCACCCAAGACCTGTTACTTTGTCAATTTCGACCAATACGTGTGCTGCGATGTTGCTGCGGAGGCTACGCCGCCACCAAGGGCGCCACCCACTCCCATGCCCTACTCGAGTCCGCTGAAGTTGCGACCCAGTGTGCAATGTGAGTTTAAGTTTATGTCCATAAACATATCAGAAAAGTGAATAATTGCCTTTAGTGTATATTGGGTAATATTATAGGAAAAATATTTATTTTGATCACAAGTTTAGTGGTATTCTTGTACATAAATTAAAGAAGGAAAGCATGTCTTTAATAAAATCACTTAAAATTGTATATTTTAAGGATATTATTAGGGTAGTGAATATATGATTTTTCAATACCATCAAAACCAAGATAAAAACAAGAAAACTTTATAAACACGGTTTTTAACTCCTAAATAATATCTTACACTTAGCCTTCTAACTGATTGATTTCAACACATGTCACAATTCCATTACAAAAAGCATTAAATTTGTTTTATCAAAAAAAAAATCACAATTTTCAGAAATTCCTTGAACAACTTAATGTCAGCATTGTAATCCCGAATTTATTGTAAACAGCATATGATGTAATCCATGACTAACTAACATAAGGTTTTCCCTCTCACATTCGCAGCGTGCTACTGGGCCAACAATGTGCCGATCGTTAATAACAAGCCAGTATTCGTTTTCCCGGCTGTGTTAGCAAATCCCACCGGTTACCGGGAATACCCCTCCATGGCGGCTCTTGGCTGGCGCTCAAACTTCGATGAGCAGATATTCTATCTATGTGGAGGTGCCCTGATCTCCAGCACATTTGTTTTGACGGCAGCCCACTGTGCCGATTTGGGCGGGTAAGAGGAACCCACAATGTTATCTGATAGCTTATGTCTTATATCTTATTTAATATGTGACATTCTTAATTTTGATTGCTTTACAAATGAGAGACTAGTTTACCAAGAAACAGACAGAAGGACAGATTCAGTTCGTGATGCTGATCAAGAGTATATATATTTATGGGGTCTGAGGTGTCTCCTTTACTAGGTTGCAAACAAATAACCGGATAACTAGTTGATAAGAACACTTATAAAATCTAATTAAATACAAAGTGATTATTTCATAAAATACTTATTTTCCCAGGGAACCGCCCAGTCAGGTTCGCCTCGGTGGCGACAACTTAACTTTAACAGAAGGCGAAGACCTCTTCATCCGCCGGGTGTTTGTCCATCCGGAGTACAATAACAAAACGCCCTACAACGATATTGCGCTCCTTGAGTTGGAAACCGCTGCCAAGCCGGAACTCAAGCCCATCTGCCTTTATACGGAGAAGGAGCTGGAGGACTCGCTGGTCACGGCCATCGGATACGGACAGACGAGCTTCTCCGGACCCTCCTCCGCCCAGCTGCTCAAGGTGCGGCTCCAGACCGTGAGCAACAAGGAATGCCAGGACTATTACCAGGTGGACCAGCTGGCCCAGGGAGTGCTGAGCACCCAGCTGTGTGCGGTAGATAAATTCGGTGGACAGGACACGTGTCAGGGTGACTCTGGTGGACCGATGATCATGCAGGACGGGAAACTCGACTACATTGTGGGCATCACATCGCTGGGACAGGGATGCGGGAGTGGACCGCCGTCGGTGTACACCAGAGTCTCGAGCTTCGTCGACTGGATCGAGGGCATTGTCTGGCCAGAAGGTTTTAAGCCTCCTCAGGAAACTCAAATCCCAACCGATACCAAATTAAACACTTTCTAAAAATCAATCAAGTAATTATATAATTTTTTTCTAAAGAATTGTAGTCTTACACAAATTTGTAGCTTCCACATTTTAAAAATCTACATTTTTAAGATATCATTCATAATAGGATATCATTTAGAAAAATTTGATGAAATATAATACTTACTTTATATTTTGAGTTTTCTAATTAAAGAATTGCGAGAATAAAGAATATGTAGAATTTCGTGAATAAAATACAACCAAAATATGGCAGATTAAAAAATTGTATTATTATTTTGAGACATTATAACAAAAAGAAATAATGGGAAGAAAAGTTATATATTTATATAAATTATAAATTTATAAAAGGCTTCATTAACAAACTACTCGTAAAAACAGAGTATTATTTAAAAATTATAATTTAATTGAAATCATATTGGTTGCAATCTTTTCTCGGTGTAATACTAATTGAATGAATGAACTTAGTGCTAATTATATTATTCTCAACTGACCGACCGTTTGTCATCATCATGTTCCCCCAAAATAATCTCAAAACGTGTTTAATTTGGTTGGTCTTTTTGAAGGCTCGTTGCTTGCGGCTATAAAGTACGAAGCGCTCTTGTTTTCAACGCAGTCGCGTTGGTAATTCGTTGGATTTTGGAGCATGTATACTTTTAAATGGTTGATGTGCTTCAGTTTGTTTTGGATAACACTCACGGGCACTGAGGCAGAACTTTCTTCGGATCCCTTGATTGTTGAGATTCCGAACGGAAAACTCCGAGGAAAGGATATTGGCCACTACTTCAGCTACGAATCGATTCCCTATGCCGAACCCCCGATTGGTGAACATCGATTTGAAGCTCCTCAACCATATAGTCATCGATTTGAGGGTATTTTCAATGCCACAAAGCCACCAGTAGCCTGCTTACAATGGAACCAGTTCGGAGCCAAAAAACTGCAGGGAGAGGAGGATTGCCTGACCATAAGCATCTACAAACCGAAAAGCAAAACTCGGAGCAGCTTTCCCGTCGTGGTTCTCCTTCATGGAGGTTGCTTCATGTTCGGTGGAGCAGCTTTAAATGGACACAAGTTCATAATGCAGGAGGGAAATTTGATATTGGTAAAAATAAGTTATCGTGTTGGACCTTTGGGATTCGCAAGCACTGGAGATAAGGATTTGCCAGGGAACTACGGCCTAAAAGATCAACGACTGGCTCTTCAATGGATCAAGCAGAACATCGCTAATTTTGGTGGAATGTCAGATAATATTGTAGTTCTTGGTCATTCAGCAGGCGGTGCCTCAGCTCATTTGCAGCTCCTGCATGAGGATTTCAGCCAGTTGGCCAGGGCTGCGATTTCAGTGAGCGGAAATGCCCTTGATCCTTGGATTTTCAATCAGGGTCACCGCGGACGAGCCTTTGAACTAGGTCGCATTGTGGGTTGTGAACAACCGAAGGATTCTGCGGAACTAAAGAACTGCTTAAAGTCCAAACCAGCTAGTGAAATAGTCTCCGCAGTACAGAGCTTCTTGATATTTTCGTATGTGCCCTTTTCGCCTTTTGGACCTGTTGTGGAGCCAGAAGATGCTCCAGATGCCTTCCTTACTCAAGATCCCGTCGAGGTAATCAAAAGTGGGAAGTTTGCACAAGTTCCTTGGGCTGTAACATACACCACTGAAGATGGTGGCTATAATGCTGCTCTCCTTTTGGAAAAGAACAAAACAACCGGTGAAACCTGGATAGAAACACTCAACGATCGATGGTTTGACTGGGCTCCTTACTTGCTTTTCCATCGGGACCCAAAGAAGACCATCGAGGACATGGATGAAATTTCGAGGAACCTCAGACAGCAATATTTGGGAGATAGACGATTCAGCGTGGAAAGCTATTGGGATGTGCAGAGGATGTTCACAGATATTTTATTCAAAAATAGCGTTCCAAGTGCAATAGATCTTCATAGGAAACATGGCAAGAGTCCTGTCTACTCCTTTGTCTACGATAATCCTGCTGTTACTGGAGTAGCTCAGGTGCTTGCAAAGCGCTCTGATGTATTTTTTGGTTTGTATTACCTTACATTTAACAAATCATTCCTTTAAAATATATTCTCTTACAGGAACGGTTCATGGCGATGACTTTTTTCTCATCTTTGAATTTGCTCCACTAGGAAGAAGAATCCGTCCTGATGAGAAAGTTATATCACGAAAGTTAATCAAAATGCTGGAGGATTTCGCACTTAGCGATAAGGGAGCTCTGACATTTGGGGACTGCGTTTTCCAAAATAATGTCAACAGCAAGGAATACCAAGTACTACGAATTACAGAAAACGGATGTAAGAACGAGCAATTTGATCAGTTTCCCTAGGGAGTATGGGTTTCAAATGTGACATTTATAAAATGTATTAATAATTAAAATGTAAACAATTTATAAAAAAAATATAAAATATAATATTATATATTCATTATCCAGACAACATTTTTTTCTGTGCAATAATGAATGAATAAATTAACTCCACGCCAATTTTATTAATTTCAACTGAACGTTTGTCACCATCATTTACCCCTGAAATACTCTCAAAACGTGTTCAATTGAGATGATCTGTTTAGAAGGCCCGTTGTACGGGGCTATTAAAAAAGAAGCAACCTTTGTTTGTTCACAGTCGCGTTATTGTTTCGTTAGATTTCAGATCATGTATTTACTTAAATGGGTAATTGGCTTGGCTTTGCTGTGCACAGCATACGCATCAGATCCCTTGATTGTTGAGATTGCGAATGGAAAACTCCTTGGAAAGGATAATGGCCACTACTACAGCTACGAATCGATTCCCTACGCTGAACCTCCGATCGGTGAACTTCGCTTTGAAGCTCCACAACCATACAGTAATCAATGGATAGATATTTTTGATGCCACAAATCCACCAGCAGTCTGCATGCAATGGAACCAGTTTACAGCCGAAAAACTGCAGGGAGTAGAGGATTGCTTGACCGTTAGCATCTACAAGCCGAAGGATCATAATCGAGACAGCTTTCCTGTGGTGGCTCAAATTCCTGGCGGAGGCTTTATGTCCGGTGGAGCAGCTGTGAATGGACATGAGTTTCTAATGCGTGAGGGAAATTTACTGGTGGTGAAAATTAACTATCGGGTTGGACCTTTGGGTTTCGCAAGCACGGGAGATATTGATTTGCCAGGAAACTATGGACTGAAAGATCAAAGGCTCGCTTTACAATGGATCAAACAGAACATCGAAAACTTTGGTGGCATGCCGGAGAATATTGTGGTCGTTGGTCACTCAGCTGGTGGTGCCTCAACTCATTTGCAGCTCCTGCACGAGGATTTTAGTCAACTGGCCAGAGCAGCCGTATCTATGAGCGGTAATGCATTGAATCCTTGGATTATCCATCGGGATCACCGAAGGAAAGCCTTTGAACTGGGTCGCATCGTTGGCTGTGGCCAGCTGAAGGATTCTGCGGAGCTGAAGAATTGCCTAAAGTCCAAACCGGCTAGAGAAATAGTCTCTGCAGTGCAAAGCTTTTTAATATTTGCGTATGTGCCCTTTGCCCCCTTTGGACCTGTTTTGGAGCCAGAAGATGCTCCAGATGCCTTCCTTACTCAAGATCCCGCTGAGGTGATTAAAAGTGGGAAGTTCGCTCACGTTCCATGGACTGTGACGCACACCTCTGAGGATGGTGGATTCAATGCCGCTCAGCTGTTGGAAAGAAACCAAACAACCGGGCAGACATTGATTGATATACTCAACGATCGCTGGTTTGACTGGGCCCCTTACTTCCTCTTCTATCTGGATTCAAAGAGGACTGTTGATGAAATGGATGAGTTCTCGAGCGAACTTAGGCAGCAATATTTGGGAGATCGAAGATTCAGTGAGGAAAGTTATTGGGATGTGCAGCGAATGTTTACTGATATTCTTTTTAAAAACGGAGTTAAAGCTTCAGTAGAGCTTCACAGGAAATATGGCCAGAGTCCTGTATATTCGATGGTTTACAACAATCCTGCTGTTAATGGAGTAGCTCAGGTGCTTTCCAACCGCACTGATTTGTTTTTTGGTTCGTATAATTTTGATTTTAATAACCACTCCGCTAAAATGAATTCTATTAAAGGTGCCGTTCACGGAGATGACTTCTTCTTAATCTTTGATATTGGTGCCCTGCGTCCAGTTATTCGTCCTGATGAAGAAGTTATCTCAAAAACATATATAAAGATGCTTGAGGATTTTGCTCTTGGTGATAATGGAAGTCCAACGTTTGGGCAATGCATATTACAGAATAATGCAAACAGCGAGCAATACCAAGTGCTTCGAATAACACAAAATGGTTGCACGAACGAGCAATATGATCAGTTTCCCTAATGAGTTAAAGTTTTAAAGCAAGAATATTAATAAAGTGGTTTACAAAAATATATATAATCGCAAAAAATAAATTTATTCAACCTTCAGGTAGCTTCAACGGTCAAGGGCTCCTCAATCAGTTCTTCGTCATCCTCCGAGTTTATTTCTTCTCCTTCCACATTGCCGTACAACTCAAGCTTGCTGTCCAGGAACCGAAAGTCCTTAAGGATATGCAGTTTGTTGCTAAAGCCAGCGATTGACATGAGTTTAATCGGGGAGGTTTGCCAAACGGCGGAGTAGCAGGCGGTGTGCTCCACGGGAATATTGGCTTGCAGGGCTCCATTTAGAGTATAGGATTGCACATGATTGTGCTCTCCACCGATCAACACGCAGTCATCCACAAAGTCGCAGAGATGCACGCGTCCCGGGAAATCAAAGACCCGAGTGCACTCCAAGGAGCGCAAGTGGTAAATGGACGCCTTGGGTCCACCGCCGCAAAGTAGCCAATCCTCGTTGACAGCCACAGCTCCTATCCACTTGCCCCAATCGGGTCGCAAAAGATTTGGGTTCTTGTACGGCTCTAACATTGCGGTTTGTTCCTGCTGCTTAGTACTCCACACCCGCACTGTGCCATCTTCGGCGCCGGAGAAGATCTGACCGCTGGAGTTGCCCACCACACTGTGCACGTAGTCTGTGTGACCTCGGTAATCCCGCTGAATGCGACCATCTTCCAAACTCACTTGGTAGATGACCCCATCGCCACAGCCGGCGTAAAGTGTGCTGTTCTCCGCATCCAGCCACATAGAGTTTACATCGGGCACTTCGACGGCGTCAACTTGCATGGGTATCTTCACCTCCCAGGAGCGTTTCGTGGCCAAAGATTCCTCCTCCTCGTTCCATGACAATCCGTAAATCAGACCCACTGCACCCACAATCAGAAAATCACGATGGAAAGCCAGATAGTTGATGTCCACATCGCTTCCCTGTGGAAAGATCTTCAGTTTGCCAGGAGGCTCCTCGGAACCCTTATCCAGTTCTTTAATCCTTTAAATATTGTATTTACTATTAACATTTGCTGAACATGCTTTAAAACTTGGCCTCTTACCTTAGTACAAAAATATCTCCAAACAGATTACCCGCAAATAGGTATTGATGAGAGGTGGATATTGTCTGTGCCAGAACATTATTATAAGCCCGTTTCAGATCCTTTTCTTTCATATTTTAAATGATATCAAGAAATTTATTAAGTTTCAATCTTTTGTTTACGCCGGCTTCTTCAGTGTGGCCGTTTCTTTATGATACACGAAAATATACCATGTACATTTTAAAATATACTAGTTCTTTTCTAAGGTCATACTACGTAGACGGCACTTTACGTTTTCTTACGTCGAACCGTTAACCTAAGTAACGTTTATTTTGAATATGCTGAGGAACCTGTTTATAATCTTCAGAAATTTGTTCGAATTTGAGGAAATACAGTAAATTGCAATTGTAATTATCCGAACAAAATCGCTCGCCAGCGATCGCAATTTGCATCATTTTTAAATAATGGTATTCGCCATGTGGATTCCCTAAATTATCGAGTGACAGATGCATTGTGGAAAAAAAAAGTACTTACCGTAAATGTTTATTTACGATTAATCACATTAATTGGAATTCCTTATGCGGTCTAAATCGGAATATGTGCTTTAATCAGGCACAAAGTTCGATGGCTTTCCGCCGAGACAATATTTATTTGCATTGTCACAGTGAGAGATCTTTGAGAAAGTCTGAGACCTTTGAGACGATCGAAATGTTAGTTGACTAATCGCCTAAAAATATGAATTTGTAAAGATAATGATGACGTTTCATAAAGTCTAATACCGACATGGTTAATTGGATTGGATTCGAGAATGAATCATCATAACTCAGATAAAGGAAAAGCCGTCAATATGACGTCAAGTTTAAGGCACTCTTAAAGTTTGAAGAGCGTGCTCGTAGTCATGTTTGCTTATAAACGAATGGTTATTGCCCACTTATGATTGGAAAACATTAATAGACATCTTCAAATTAAATGGCTATCAACATCAGGTTTCTGTTGTTTACCAATCAAACATAACATAATTTGGTTGGGCCTTTATTTACCAAATAAATTCTGCGATGTTATGGCTTCATCAGAAATAATGTTTTTGAAAATTAAGAAATACAAATTTCAATCTTGATTTTCGATCTTTTTTTATAAGATCTTTTCCACGGAGAACTGTAAAATAAGATCAAATATTTATTTCTGATCCAAATTATTTTAATCTCAAAAAAGTTTCTATTATTTAATTTTGAAGTATTCATTAAGTTTATAAAGACAGTAATCTTTTAAGAACTGTTAATAAATTATGTAATTAAATTTATTAATTTGTAAACAAAAAGTAAGAAATTAATAAATGAAACCAAACAAGTTTTTATTAATTAACTTTTAGGTACACAAATATTATCTCGACTTAGTAGCTTAAGAAGACAGTAATCCTTTGAAAATTGTGAATATATTTTAATTTTATAACTTTTAACGTTTCCAGTTTAATATTCTATTTTGTTAAATCTTACGAACTAATAACTTGGATTCGATATAAGCCTTGCATTATCAATTTCGTGAGTTGTTGATACACATTTATAAGGTAAGGCTGTTGTTCTCGGCCGTTCTAATCGTTCTAATTTATATGCAAATTCCAATGGCTTATTAATGTCGAGACAGTCGAATTATAATTAATTATTTCGGCGCCACTAAGTTGTTCGATATGTCGCAGCATAATTCACAAAGTCGGATCCAACGATCATCGATCGGTAAATTCCCAAATTCCCATTAGAACCGAGAACTTCTCTATGGGCGTGATTTCTTCTCTACAAGTTTTAAAGGCGGTTTTCCGGCTTAATCAATTCCTTATCTGTGAGCAAAACATATCAAGTTTTATAAGCGGCTTTAGCTGCGCTTCATTTGGCAGCATATTAATGGCATGCAAATTTAATTTGACAACTTGACGTATTATGCGACTTCGAGTCGAGATGCCAAGACGATTTGTTTTGACGACTTTCTTAGCTTTTTTATTGGACATTTGGATTGGCATTTCGCACGTGTTTTTTGGGAATTCCAGTGTGCTCGGAACTGCAGCTAGTTTTTTATTATTTTACTAAGTTAATACCATTAAGATACGATACATAATCCGTCGCCGTCGTCTGGATAACTGGCGCCAAAAAAGTTTCTTTAACTTTTTGGCTAACGGCTATCAAGCGATCAAGCGATCATCTTTCTTTCTCGGCTAATGATAAATGCCTTTGATGAATTTCAGCAAATTTTGTTTGCTACACAGTCAGGTCGTCATGGGAGTTTGTTTTTGTGGCCCAGTATTCGTGTTCGGTTATTTTTGGGTAATCCCCAAGCGCTATAAATTTCTTCTAAGCGGCTCTTTCTTCTTTCTTTTTTTGTTTGCCGTCCCCTCTGGATTCTCCACTGATTCTCCTTCTTGGTTTTTTGGCATAAAATTAGGTCCAACCGGATCTAGTTTACCCAAAAACTCTCTGGCCGAGAAACATTTGGAAGATCGAGCCCTCGGGATGAGTGGGTCGAGTGGAACTTTTACTGCCTGGCGAAAAGTGGTATAACGACTACTGGTTCTACGCCGTTGCATATTAAAAGCTCATTCGCCGGCACATTAATTAATTTCCGAACACCAAACAAATGGCATTAGCTGACGTCAACGGACGATTTGATTTGATATGGCCATTTCGATCCACCGACGCCGATATCTTGGTCAATGCACTCCACATGCGTCTTACTCTGTTCGTCAGTCGGTTGTATTAATTTAATCCAGCTTTCTAGGTGATATTTCTCTAATTCCGAAGTCCGTCAAGGTCGGCTACTTTCTCGGACAAGGTAAGCAACATTTCTGTGGCGCCAATGACGAGAGCCGCTGAACTTTGCGGACGAAAACAACGATCTCTTATTATTTTTTTTTGGGTGTTCCCAACGCCTTAATTTGCATCAATTTACATCTCGGATTCCCGGTCGCGTAATTTAAATGTTGATTGTCAAATAAATCTCGCCGGTTCTGCGGGGTAATTTATTCAAAGCATTCGGCCAAAAAATGAAATATGCACTCTGTCGGTGGCACTAAAACTCAAATTGGCCCGAAAAAGCCAGAAAGTAAAGTTCTAAAACCTGTCCTATAAAGTTTGACGATGTGCTGAAAAGTAATTGGAAGATTAGCCTGTCCATCAATAAAAGACACCTCCCAGAACGGGAAGTTATATAGTTATATATCCTACACGTGCTGTTTTAGATTCCTAGAAAGGAATTTTATTATAATATCCAGGGGATTCATCTCGTAAAAACTGCTTTGCACTTTTATGTCCAATTAACTTTATTAGTGTTTGTTTATTAATAATCTTCAACCTGCCAATGAGTAATGCAAATATGACGATCTTAGAAGTAAAATAATCCCCGATTTCGGTTTGCTCTATCGGATTTAAAGGCACGTGTAATTGCCAGGATCAATTAGAGATATCTTTTTCCACTCCTCGAGATTAACATATCATTTACGTACTTAATTCCGCTAAAAACAAAGGCATTCTCGAGGTGTTTTTTACAATTCGGCTGCTAATTAAGTAAATAAAATTAAGGCGATCGGCGATCTCCGTTGATTTTTATTAACAACACAAACGGCTGGCGCCAAGCAAATTAACTCCCATTTGAAATGTTTGTTTTTATTGGTTTTTTGGAATTTTTTTGGCAACGTAGATCGAGAAAGAAAACAGGAAAAGCGCAAGAAAACATTAGAACACAAAAACATTGATTGAGTCAGCATTGTTGTGATGATTCTGATTTGGAGCGGAATCCGCATATTAATTTGTTGATAAATAATAAACCGACTGCTAACTTGATTCATCGCTGTTACCCCGAATTTCGTCCGAAAGTTTTGCTTGAAATTGGCAAAAAATTTCGTGGACTTTGAGGCGTAAATGAATAACTTATTTGAGACAAATTCTCGATGGCGCCACTGAATCAAAAAATTTCGGAGTTCCCGCTGTTTACGGATGAAGATGCGCAAAAGCAACTTTCAAATTAAAAAAAAAAAAAATTCCATCTTTTTCAGTTGAATGAAACATTTCCAACTCTCCGAATTGCTGAGACTGAGCCAAAGAAAAACGACTATGAAAACGGGTCTTCTAATGAGAATTCCACTGAAGTTTATACATAATTAAAATCGTATTTGTCACCCAAAAACGTTCTATCCACCGAAAGGGGCGGTGGTTTTCTGTCCGAAATCCATCTGGAATACCTGTTCTATTGTCTGCCGCCAAGTTAACTTGTATCTCGATTTTCTCTGGCCAACAAAAAATATGAATTTAATAAGCATTTTGAAAGCCTCTCCATCTGATTTGTGAAATTTGATATTTCGGTATGGGACGCAATCGAACTAACCCAGTTCCCACTTCCGTTTCCCATTTAAAAATTTGAACTTTGCTTGGACTAAGCGCGCCAAATGAAAATCGGCCGACTATCAGCTTTTATAAACGAGATTTTACGACTTGTTTGCTGTCATAACAACAGGCTACCGGAGAAGAGTCGGCCGATCGGTTGAAATGAGCAGAGAGATAAATCCGAGAGCCCAGATAACCGGCGAAATATTTTTGCTGAGCGCGAGCGACGAGGTATAAAATATCACGGCTCCATCAGAATGGATTTAAACTGAAGCGAACGTTCAAAGCGCGCAGAACTCAACAAACAAGTTACGCAAAAAATTCCCAAAAAAACAGACTCAAATAAAATAGAATATATAAAGATCCGTTAAGAACGAGAAAAGTTAGTGACAAGTGCAGTAATCAAATAAACAGAGTTAAAAATGTTGAACAACAGAATAGCCCAGCTGCTGGGATTGGGAATGATCTTGATGCTGATTTGGGCAACCAAACCCACAGAAAGTTACGCCGTGGGACACTCGAAATACGGACGGATCGAGAAGTTCCCCTACCAGGTGATGCTCATTGGCAAACAATTATGGCGCAAACGCATCCTGTGTGGAGGAACTTTGTTGGATCGCCGTTGGATCCTCACAGCAGGACACTGCACCATGGGAGTGACCCACTACGATGTGTACTTGGGCACCAAGAGCGTGGAGGATACCCAGCAGCTCGGAGGATTGGTGCTGCGATCGAATAAGTTTATTGTTCACGAGCGTTTCAATCCGGAGACGGCGGCCAATGACATTGCGCTGGTGAAGCTGCCGCAGGATATTGCCTTCACCGCGAGGATTCAGCCCGCTCAGCTGCCCAGCAGATATCGCCACGATCAGTTCGCGGGGATGAGCGTGGTGGCCAGCGGATGGGGCGCCATGGTGGAGATGACCAACTCCGATTCGATGCAGTACACCGAGCTGAAGGTGATCTCAAATGCGGAGTGCGCCCAGGAGTACGATGTGGTCACCGCGGGAGTGATCTGTGCCAAGGGTCTGCAGGATGAAACAGTCTGCACCGGCGACTCTGGTGGTCCTTTGGTATTGAAGGACACCCAAATGGTGGTGGGCATTACGAGTTTTGGACCCGCCGATGGTTGTGAGACCAACATTCCCGGTGGCTTCACGCGGGTAACGCACTACCTGGACTGGATCGAGAGCAAGATCGGTGGACGCAGTGCACCGCATCAGCAGTATCACCACCACCAGCAGTACAGTGATAACAATCTCATTTAAGATGGATCCTCGCACTCCATTCGCCACCTCCGACTGAATCTTATAGCTTTATGTTCGAAAGATATTCTCCAATCTTGTGATATACCTCTCATTGAAATCTGTACATTGTTTTTTAGCTTTAACTATTTAAACATCTATATATTTATTTTAGTTGTAAGAGTGACAAGCGGTTACTAAAAAATAGTTGAAAAACAACAAGCCGCCAAACAAAAAGAAAGCAACAAATGATGCAAAATAAGAAATTGTATATGAAAATAAAAGAAAAAAAGAAAAAAAAAAAAACAATAATACCACCAAAAACCTGCTTCGAATTTTCTGTCTGTTTAGTCATGCTGATTTTTGTGTGGAATTGGAATTCCCGCATTTGGGGATCTGATCTCGACCGGCGATATTCGCCCGATAAAAACTTTTACGTCGTCGAGTGATAATTTCCGATGGGTTAACTGTTTCGTTTTCTATATAACAGCCACGAGTTTTCTGATCGCTCTGTTTGGTTTTACATAACTCACGAAACGCACAATTATCAAGCATCTTTTTATTTTGAAAACCACTTACTTTACATAATATTTGTGTGTTGACTTTACACTCGAGTCGATCTTTGAGAACGCGAACCCACTCCACTCCAGTTCGAAGTCGAAGGGGAGCTCCTCCGTCCGATGGATGACGTTCGTCTGTCCCACTTGGTATTTAGTTCCGTAATAGATCGACGATTCTGACGATATTTCTACCAGTTTTTTGAGTTGGAGAGGCGTCGGATTTTCTTTTTGGCCTTTGTTATGCGAATTGTGTCAGATCTATTTTGCTTTTTAAACTGAAGTGACGCACTTCGGAGTTAGAAGATTCTTTCGATGGCAGATTTATCATTTATTGATATCATCTAATGGCCCGAAATACCTCTGATTTAACTGGGCTCAGAAGCAATTCACCCTGCGGTCATAAAGCTGTTCAAGTCGATCAATTAACCCGATGACTCGCTCTAATTTAAATTCGCCAGCGAAGCCATTTAATTTATTATGACTGGAGGAGCAGTTTATCGGGTGCAACTTGTTAATCTGTATCGGAGATATATTCACCGATTTGGGAAAGTTCCTCAATAATACTCTGATATAACCATAAGTAAGAGGAACATTCTTGTTTGGACTTAACTCACAAAACAGTAGGAGGTTTGAACATCAATTTAGTGCGAAAAGCCCATGTAAATGAGATATTTAGATACGAGGTTAAGTTTGTTCTACTTCACTCCCACAACATTTAAATGCTGATAGCAAACTGGTTCACTGAACTAAACGAGCTTATAGTTTTCGATAATAAATCACGAGGCTCTCACAGCAGCAGCACATTCAAGGCAAATGATTCGAATGTTTTCCTTTCAAGCACACGCGCCCTTGGATCGTTCAATTAGTTTATGAATAATTGGCCAGAGACTTGCTAAATAAAATCCCTAAATCGTGGCAGGTTAAGATTTGCATTGAATAAAATTACTAACAGCATGCTAACTACTTAATTGCAGTCATTAATTTGTAAAGGTTTTATGACCTTTCTGACTCAGTAATCGAAGGGTACAAAGTTGGCAATACAGAAGTTGTAATATATCTGTAAGCCTTACAAAAAGTTTATTCAATTTGTAATGTGTAAATTTATTTAAAGCACTAGATCAATTATTGCTTGCAATCGATTGAAGGATAATGCCATTAAATATGGTAACATAATATAGATTTAAACTAATTTATTTGGTGTTTCGCTTTCATTTGTGCTCAGCGTTTTAAGATTGTGAGGTTCGCGCTAAAAAGTGCATTATAAAGTTTGGTTTCGTTGCTTTGCTAACTTTGGTACCGGTTTCCTAATGGATTCCCAATTTACTAGCACTGGGCGGCGGCTGCCTGCTTCTTCTTCTTCAGCACACAGTCAATGGCCTGGACGACTTCCAAAAAGATATCTTCCACGTCACGTTCGGCATTGATCTGCGTTATAAAGTCGTGAATTAAAAGGGGAATTTTTTTTCGATCTCAATTAGGTAAACTTGCCGTCAGGGTTTTGGCCTCGTAGAGCTCCAGGATGGCGTTGGTGTTCTGCCTAAAGGTCTGCAGGCGAGCCCTGATGGTCTTCTCATTGTCATCCTCCCGTTTCACCGATGAAGCTGCGGCACGCGCCATAATTCGCTGCAACATCGTGTCCTCGGAGCAGTCGAAGTACAGAGCCAGATCGGCGGGAGCAACGCGGGCCTCGAACTCCACGCCCTGGTTCTTCTCCCGCGGGTATCCGTCGATGAGGAATCCCTTCGAGCTTCCCTTGGCGCGGACAATGGCGTCGTTGAGCAGCGACAGCACCTCGGCGTTGGACACCAAGCCTCCGCTGGACATTATCTCCTGCAGCTGGCGACCCTTGTCCGATCCAGAAGCCACCTTGAAATATCAAGAAATATTAATAATAGTATAAGGTATAAAGAAATAAAATATTCTAAGAAAATATTGTTTATATACGAATATGACAATTTTAAATCAATTTGTTATAATTTCAAAACAATTTGTAGAAATGGTTGGATAAACTATTCCATTAAACATAAACTTTTCTCTCTACAGAAAGACCAGAAAATTGTTATGATCTTATATGACTCTAGTTACTAGATTTATTTTAACAAATCGTAAAAAAAAGGCTGTACAAATATTGTTAAAATTGCGATTGTTTTTACTCTAATAATATACAAAAAGTGTTTTTCAATTTAAATAAATTGTGTATGTTTCTAGATTTAAATGCATATCCGCAGCCAAAACGAATTCCAAACAGGATAGAAAACGCTTTCCAAGACAAAAACAATATCTCCCTGGCATTTCCGAACAGAACAGCGGAACTATTCCAGTATTTATGACCAAATTACCTCATTGCGCAGCAAATCACCGCTGCTCAGATGTGTGAATCCGTATTTTTCCACAATTTTGGCGCACTGGGTGCCCTTTCCGCAGCCGGGTCCACCCAAGATCCAGATGATGGGAATATCAGACTGCAAAGACAAGAAAAAGGTTAGTAAGGTCACAACACCGAGACGAATTAACATCTACAATTAGCCGGGGTTAGAGTTCACATTTAGCCAAGCTTAGTTTGGTTAAAAGGGGGAATTTTGATATTTCTCGGGTCTAAAAACTTTTGGTGATGAAGCGGCGGCCAGACAGAACATGCCATACATCAAGTAATCCTAGTAGAGGATATAGAGTACCCATCGATTTGGCCTTTCAATGGGATACTTACACTGGCCCGAGCCTTTCGGAGCTCCTCGGCTTTGAGCTTCTCCACGGCCTCCTTCTTCATTGCCATTTGGTGACACATAAATAACTACACAATCGAGACAGTTGGTTGGGGTTGGTTAGATTTCTCAAAGTTATAGTGTTATTGAACTATATGTTCGAGATATGTATTTGCCTTTCGGTTAATATGTAGTTATTAGTATTTTGGGCAATCTGCCAGCAGCGAATGTACCTCAAATGTTTGCCGACAACAAAGTTCGCACGCTACTGTGTGAAATGCACACATGTACTATATACGATTTAATTATTACATCTGCCCATGACATTGATCATGAACAAAAACCACTGCGTAACACACACATCATCACTATTATCCATTGGTTGTCTGGTAATTCAAAGCAATTGGCACCTCTTCTCCATTCGCGCAAATGGTTTTGTTAATGGTTTGATTTCATCAAAAAATCCCAATTATTGTAAACAATTGAATCGCCCCCGTTGTCGGCCCGTGACCATACTATATACTATATAGCTATAGAGCGTGTGCGTTCGGATCAGCTTTTGATATAGTGTTCGAGGCCCCCGTCGATTTTCGCCTGTTCCGCATTGTCGCACTCATCGAGAAATTTTTGGGTGCAAAAAAATAAAACATTGAAAATGAATGGATTCTGGCTGCTTGATAATAATATTCAGGTTGTTTGCTGGCACCTTTGTTTTTCCTTAGAGCATAAATTCAGTGATTTTTATTTTCTCTGACGTTGTTTTTAGCTGGCTTTTCTCTCAGCACATTTCTACGCATTCGAAGCGTTGCGTGTGAGAATTTATGATTTTCAAACTAATTTACGTAATTTGGTGAACATATAAACTAGTTCAGTGACTTCTCAATGTCATTTCCAAGGAGCCCCGTGGTTAATAATTAAGCACTGACCTGTACACATTAGTTGAACATTTGTTTCGGTTCCCGAGTAGTTAGATTTAATTATAGAATAAGAGCTTCACACATGCTTTCTGTTCAAACGGAACTGGAAAACTATCCAGTCAACTCGAAGGAATTTTTATGGAAGCCAACTCTTGCTCTTGCTATTTCTTTTATAAGGCTTTTTGTTTCTTTGTTTTGACAATTTAATAATGCGACGCGACTAAGTCAAGACAAAAAAAAAAATAAAACCGGCATGACTGTCTAGTTCGAGTAGCGCCAATAAACACATTTTAACTGCTTTTTGGCGACGAGGTTTGGGGTTTGGGACTTGCTAATGAATCAAGCCCCGCCAGAAATTCCTGTGTATCGGGGCAACTGGTAATAAATTTATTCAAATCGGGATTTTGACGTCAAAATTCGACGGGGCTTGGAATGCGAATTTCGTTTTTTTATTGTTTGTTTGCTTCGTTTGGGTTACTAATTTGTGGCTTTGTTTGTTTGTTTTCGGGGAATTTCACAGGTTCGTAATCGTTTTGAATTAGGAGAGGCTCTATTTTAAAACCGGGAGACGTAAACAGTGAACAGCTGACGGGGGAGATTCTCGGCTTAAAAAGAGAGTAACTGTAACTGAGAGTGTTAGCTTCTCGGCTCAAAAAGAGAGTAACTGCAACTGAGAGTGTAAGCTTGTGCCCCCAAAAAAACACTCTCGAGTGCATCGCAAGGTCAAGTGCATTACAAGTGGCTCAAGGTCTAGCTGCCTGTTCTCAATTTTAAACTCAAAAAATAAATAAAACAAAACTTGAAATTAGCAGTTAAAGTGTTTGTAGAGATTTCAATCAGAGTAGAACTTTTCGTGTAGGTTACATACAAATAAAAATAAACTGGGCAATAAGCAGAAACGGAAAAGAAACATAAAAATCACTGGGGCACCCGCACTGCGAAAACCACTCACCATGATGATGTATACTAGATATACACGTCGCTGTTGCGGGCCTTTGGCTAAATAAATCGCGAGATTTGCGGTAGTTTGGTAGCAGCCGATGCCTGACTAGCCCTCCTTCTGCCAGTTGCCGTTCAAGTCGATTTTCCCAGCGATTCGATTGCTCCGCCCGACGAGATTTTCCACCGCCCTCTGTGCTGCGTGTGTTGAGAGTGACTGAATGAAAAGGCTTTCGATTCGATCCGATTCGGCTAACGGCTAACGGTTTCACTGCGCGTACACAGACGCTCACGCGAGCTTTCCTGCGAAGCTTTCCGACTGCCAGTGCTTTTGTTTTGGCCGGTCCACCAACAACCCGAACTTTTTCAATACGAATTTTGAGTATTATAGCCGCTGTGTTTCATGTTTCCATTATGAAGATTGGTAGCGCCGTAACTATTCCAACTTAAATTGATCCAATTTCAAATTGTTTTTTCAGTTTTAATTTTTTGAGTATTATTTCTGAGGTGGTTCATTTTGCCATAAAACAAGGTACCATCTTTTGGAAAAGAATCTTTTTGCTTTTTTTGCTTTCATGACTTGAAATTTCTGTAGATTTGCATTTTTGGGGTGGTTTTTTTTTAAAGATTTAACATATTTTTACTTTACCGATAAGCGCAGTTTTTGTTTTGTAATAGTTCAAATTCGGTTTTTATATAACACCCATCATAAGTAATCATCTAGCGAGCGATTGACAATTTTGACCTATGACGAACAAAGTGGTTCATGCTAGCCTGAATTTCTTCGAACACTTTATCAGGTTCTTGGTCGCCATTAACGATCAGGGTAATGTCTGCATATCTTTCTATTACAGGCCTCGAAGCATTTACGTACGCTGGATACCTGGGACGTGATGCAGTGGAAGATTGGGAACTGCGTTGATTGCCGACTTCCTCTTCCATTTCCAAGGCAATGATTATGCTGGGCGAACCGAGCTTGTCCTCTAATATTTCAGCCTCCTCCAAATTAGCAGGGTATCTATAAGTAGACATAATTAAATATTTTCCAAGCAGCGCTGGCTTTTCCTACCCATCAATTACAAAACCCTTATTATTTCGTTGGGTTATCATTTGTTGTTCGATCAAAGGTATAATTTCTAATAGGGGAACTGCGTTTCCGGTTGCTTGTATATCTGCGAATTTTTCTCCAATTTTGGTCTTTGCTGACATCTGAAAAGCACACAAATATTTTATTTAATATACATCACTAAATTTATCAGTTAAGTTTACCTCATAATCCATCAATTCGACGGGGTCAATATGCGTGTATCCATACTTTTGTACTATTTTCTGAGTCTGAGTTCCTTTGCCGCTTCCCGGACCGCCCATCATCCAAATAATAGGAATATCCTGTAAAATAGACGGCCTAAATGATCACACATCCTTATTATTATTAGTTATCAACTTACCATATTTATTTTATTATTTTAATCAAAACACGTCCTAAACATTCATGTCAAAAGCTACTTTCTTCTTTTTAAGGTTTCCGTTTTTTTGGTAAATAATTATTAGTTATATTGAAACTGTGTACAAAAAATGGCCGAACTTTTCGCTTACTAATTTTCCGAGAAGGAGCACATAAGCTAAAATATAGCTTTATGAATTGGAATAAAAAGAAATTTAACTATAATTTACCAGTTCCAGTAGGAACAAGGCCTCGTAGTATTCCAAATAGAGCTTTCCATGTTCACTATATCCGAAATTTTCGAATTTCCCATCCTTTCGTATGAGTTCTGCCACTTGTTGCTCCTCATTCCAAGTGGCAAGAGCTCTTCCTCCATATCTTTCTATGCGGGGCACTGATAATTGAGCTCTTAAATGATCTAACATTTTATAAATATATCTTGGAATGATTTTAATTATATATTATTTATGTTTACCTTGGGCTTGTTTAAGCTCCTCAAGTTCCAATTCAGTTCCTTAATTTTCTGTACGTTTTAAACCTCCACTCAGAGCTTCAAACTCCGTGCGACGATGCGCAATTAGTTCTTGAGCACTGGAATTGCTAAAGTTTGAGCTTCGTGATGGTAATTTAATTTATAAAATACCTTAAATACGAGGTTTTTGGATGAATTTCCACAAGTTCCGTATCCAATGTTTTGATGTCCATGTCAGTGTGACCGAAATAAGACGAAATATTAATTGCTATCGATGAATCTATATTCCTTTGGCGGCTTTTAAACATATTCAAAAGCTTAGGTGATTTGCCAGAATTGGAGTAAACTAATTTTACGCTGGTTGAAATCACCAAAAAAAACAATGAAAAATTTTTTTTCAATCAAAAACCCCCCTCAGATTGAAATTCTAAAATCGCCACTGTCCATAGAATTGATTGCTCCTTTATTTTGTCGATCTCGTTAATGCCTTCGAATTGTTAACATTGTTCACCCCATTGGTCGTTCCACCAATAACCCGAACTTTTTCAAATCGAATTTTGAATATTATAATCGCTGTGGTTCATGTTTCCATGATGAAGATCGGTAGCGCCTTAACTATACCGATTTAATTCAATCCAATTAGCAATTGTTTTTGTCCGGTTTGATTTTTTGAGTATTATTTCTGAGGGTGTTCATTTTGTTATAAATCGATGTACCTTCTTTTGGGAAAGAAACTTTCTGCAATTTCCATCATTTTATGCCGATTTTTAACTTTTAATTTTTGCAGATATCCAGAATTAGCTTATGTTGCTGGGGAGGTTTCTAAAAATTGAACTTATTTTTACTTTCCCGATAGGAGCAGTTTTTTTTTTTTTCAAAGTTCAAATTCAGTTTTTATGTAACACCCATCATAAGTATTCATCTACCGAGTGACTGACAATTTTGACCTATGACGAACAAAGCGGTCCATGTTAGCCTGAATTTCATCAAACACTCTTTCAGGTTCTTGGTCTCCATTAACAATCAGAGTAATGTCTGCATATCTTTGTATTACCGGCCTCGAGGCACTTACATACTCTGAATAACTGGGACGTGAGGCCGTGGAAGATTGGGAACTGCGTCGATTGCCGACTTCCTCTCTCAATTCCAACGCAATGATTTTGCTGGGCGGACCGAGCTTGTCCTCTAGTATATTAGCCTCCTCCAAATCAGCAGGGTATCTATAAGTAAAAGTAATTAAATATTTCCTAAAGAACGTTGTCTTTCCTACCCATCAATTACAGAACCCTTATTATTTCGGTGGGTTATCATTTGATGTTTGATCAAAGGTATAATTTCTAATAGGGGAACTGTGTTTCCGGCAGTTTGCATATTTGTGAATTTTTCTCCAATTTTGGTCTTTGCTGACATCTGTAAAGCACACAGATATTCAAGTAAATATGCATCACTAAATTTATCAGTTAATTTTACCTCATAATCCACCAATTCGACGGGGTCAATATGAGTGTATCCGTACTTTTGCGCTATTTTCTGGGTCTGAGTTCCTTTGCCGCTTCCCGGACCGCCCATCATCCAAATAATTGGAGCATTCTGTAGAATAGAAGGCCTAAATGATACCTGTCCATATTATTATTAGTCGTCAACTTACCATAGTTACGCTGGATTTTAATCAAAACACGTCCTAAACATTCATGTCAAAACACGTCCTAATCATAAAAGTCAATACACGTCCTAAACAAACAAGTCAAAAGCTACTTTCTTCTTTTTAAGATTTCCATTTTTTCGTAAATAATTATTTGTTCTATTGAAACTGTGTACAAACAATGCATAGTAAATAAAATAAATTTTTGGGGGTTTGCTCACGTTCTCACGTAAAATTTATTGACATGGCACCTCCGCAGTTTTTGGTAATCATCAACTTATATAGTATAAAAAGGCCTGTATCTGTTTGGATTCACTAACGGATACGACAAGCAATGGTGCGGTGTGAAGATTCTGATTCTGAATCTTTGAAATTTCATCATGAGTAGGAAAAGCCTCTTGATTTGAAAGAATGATTACATTAAAGTTGGGTGGCTTTGGTAAGCTCTTCTTAAAACCATCGTTGTGAAGATGCAGATCAAAGGTTATTTTGAAAGAAGAGGGTTTTATGTCTTCTCTTTTGGCAAAGCCTTGACTTTCAAGTTGCACAATATCAAACTTTTCAAAGATCTTTTCAAATTTGGAATATGAATAATCTTCTTTAAGGTGATCCACTAGACTTCGACCGGTTATGGAAAACTTTATTTTTTTGCTAGCAGGTTCTTCGATTAGATCTTTACTTGCTCTTTGCTTTCTGCCGTTGAATTTGAAATCTATGGATTCTTCTGTGATATCTGGCTGTACTTGCCTTTGAGACACAATTTGTTCCCTCATGTCTTCCATTTGTTTTTTTATTACCGAGTAAAAAGGTGAAATTTTAATGTGATCCGGCACTTGTTGATTTCCCAGTTTCTCTTTCAGAATTGCCCAAACACAATCTTCACTGGTTACTGTCTCTGATGTTTTTTCAGGCGGCGTGTGTTTGACGACTATATAGCCAGCACGGGATAATGCGGAATAAACCAGGTAATGGCTGAACCTTTCGCTTTCCAACTTTCCAAGAAGCAGAACATAAGCTTGTTCTATCGAAACTACTGAACCATAGAACTCCAGTTGTAGCCGACCCTAAAATATAGCTTTATGAATTGGAATAAAGAGGAATTTAATACTATAACTTACCAGTTCCAGTAAGAACAAGGCCTCGTAGTATTCCAAATAGAGCTTTCCATGTTCACTATATCCGAAATTTTCGAACTTCCCATCCTTTCGTATGACTTCTGCCACTTGTTGCTCTTCATTCCAAATGGCAAGAGCTCTTCCTCCATATCTTTCTATGCGGGGCACTGATAATTGAGCTCTTAAATAATCTAACATTTTATAAATATATCTTGGAATGATTTTAATTATATATTATTTATGTTTACCTTGGGCTTGTTTAAGCTCCTCAAGTTCCAACTCAGTTCCTTCATTTTCTGTACGTTTTAAACCTCCACTCAGAGCTTCAAACTCCGTGCGACGATGCGCAATTAGTTCTTGAGCACTGGGATTACTAAAATTTGAGCTTCGTGATGGTAATTTAATTCATAAAATACCTTAAATACGAAGTTCTTGGATGAATTTCCACAAGTTCCGTATCCAATGTTTTGATGTCCATGTCAGTGTGACCGAAATGAGACCGTTGAGAAATACCATCAAATTCCAACAAGTCAAAATATAAATTTGATATCGACGCATCGATATAATTTTGGCGGCTTTTAATCATATTTAAACGACTAGGTGAAATGCCATAATATATTAATATAAAAGAAACTTTCGCTTGGTCAAATCCTTCACTGTTTGGCTTACGAATAAAAAAAAAGTTAGATACCCAATTTGTCAAATAATAACGACATATGTCAATCTTCTCTATTTATAAATCTTTATTCTTTGTATAATTGTAGTTTTGTTAGTTTCGCATAACATACGCTTAACATTTTGCTCTCTCATGCAATGGAGCTTGTCGAAATCTCGAACTCGTTTTAATTGATGTCATATAACATTTTACACCTTGAAAATACACTTAATGGTAGATTTTATGAACATTTAATACACCACATTGTTGCTTTTAACTCTTACACTGTTAACATTTCTCGTCCCCTTCGACAATTTCAACTTCACGTATATTGCAGGATATTTCTAGTTGGCTTTTCTTTGTTTCTTCGGTTTCTTACTACACCGCAAATGTTTTTTTAAACTCTGAACTGCGAAACGACTCCTGCTGTTTCTGCTGTTTTGTAAAAACTTAAATACAAAAATTATACACTATAACTAACCGTACATTGTATATGTGTATCATTATGTATATGTACTTATAATTGATTTATATGTATGCGTCGTGTATTGTATAAACAGTTTCTCCATAGTATTGGTTTGCTCCTTTATTTTGTCATTCTCGTTAATGCCTTCGAATTGTTAACATTGTTCACCACATTTGTATTATACATATGCATACATATATCCGTAAATGCTTTAGTTATTATCCATCTACATATATGCATAGATATATATATATAAATATTTCTGATTTGAACGCGTAACGCTTTAAGGTAATATTTTTTATCTGCCTGCTGATAGGTAGTTTCTCTATTTCTCCCCCGAAACACCGCGTTACACATACATATGTAGTTTTTTTTTTTAAATAAAAAAGGTCATAGTTCAAGTAAAAGCACGGAAAAATAAATAATACTCTCCCCCTTGACATGATTATCTACACTTATGTACAGGACAGCAAGGACCGCTTAGACTATGGCCACGTTCGAAGAGGTGGTGGCAGTCGGTTTGCCCGACTTCACCAGACAGGACTGCGAATTGTTGCCCATGCTGGAGCCATCCAGGCTGTCCAAATCGAGAGCGGTATCGATCATCGTGGTGTCGTGCAGCATCCTCAGTCTCTCGGCGGACTTCACCTGCTCGGCTCCATCTCCCAGGGATTTCCTCTTCACGTGACACGATGCACTAACCGGATCGTCCAGGTCGAGATCATCGCAGAGCAGAGTGGAGGACAGCACATTGTTGGCCTGATCCAATTGCTGTTGCTGTTGCTGCTGGCGTTCATCGATGATGTTGGAGTAAACATGCAGATTGGAGTCATTGGAATTACTTGCTGCCACTGCAGGCACATTGCTGTACATGTTCTCCGTTTTGCCGGTGATGGCAGCAGCCAGTAGAGCTGCTCCCGCCGAGGGTTTCCCCGAACTGCTGGCTCCTGCCTCAGCTCGAACATGGTTGTCCGCTAGCGAGGAGTTAACCAGAGCCGCCTCGAAGTCCGCATCGAAGAGGTTGCTATAACTGCCGCTGCGGTTGCGCATTTCCCTCGCCTTGTTGGAGGCAATTGCGGCCACGGCGGCCACCACTTCCGGACTGCCCACCACCACCACATCGGGATCGTCCAACTCATCCTCACTGCTGGCGGTGGCCAACTGATTCTCATAGCTTACGGTGCCGCCATTGGAAATCTGGCGCTGTTTGTGATGACGATGGCGATACTGACGCGACTGGGTGGCCGTTTGGTGGGTGTAGGCCGGAATGTCCATTTGGGCCAGCGGTATCTCGTTGTCCACCAACTGAGCTAGACTATTGGAATTACCTGGGAACAAAAGCAGAGAGCCCTGATTAGTGAATGGCATTTAATTCGCTTCGCTTTTGTATGTTTAATTAATGCATGTAAAATATTCAAATGCTCATTACAACAAATTTGCCAACTAATTTAAAATTCGAATTTCAATTTAGAGCAGTTTTTTTTTTTTTTTTTTTTTGCTAGTGGTTTTACTGCTCTTTTGCTAGTGGTCAATGATGGTTTGTTTTGATTCGGTTTGGTTTTAGCTGTGGGAAAAATAAAACAATTTGAATATGCAAATAATCATAAATGCTGAAAAGGGCTGCAAATTAAAATCGTAATTGAATTAAACGGGATTTTTGTCAGTTGAAACGAACAAATACACGTGTAATTGAATCGGGGAAACGCCGCCAGTCCTTTTCCGGAGGACTCTCGGCTGCCGGCTGCTGGCATAAGTGGGCGAAATCAACATAATTCGAAACTCATCAGTCGATAAGCTCTTGAACCAATAAACAACGATAACTGAATATTAAATGACAAACGGCGGAGGAGAGTTTGCGCAAATAAAGAGCGAAACTAGGCGCTAATTAATGGACTCAGAAGAGGATTGGATTCAGTGGGTAAGTCGGTGCCAATTGAACAATTTAAAGCATGCTTTCAAAATGTTGTGAGTACAATAATAATTAGGTGTATACAACAACTGCAGCTTGCCAATAAATAATCGCTAAATACCATATTAAACTTTGATTTTTTGGGTTGTTGTGTTTGGTTGGTGTTTTTTCTTTTTTTTTGGTGGTGAAGATGATTCCTTTAGGTTTTTGATGGAAACGAATTGAGATGAGCAATATAATGGATGGTCAAAAGAATATTTCGCGCTGGCAGGTTAAGCAACAGGAAAATCAACTCAAAGATATATGGTTATGCAGTGTAGCTAAGTTCAAACGAAACTCTAAAGCTTTAATTATATTTCAGGTTTTTTCGGTTATTTTTGGTTACATACAACAATTAAATGTTTTTGGCATTAGGAGAAAACTCACCCAATTAAGGCTTAAAATGCATTTTTACTCTAGTCTTAAGCGGCCCTCGACAACTTTCGCTCAATTGCAGTTTTTGTTTTGGTTTTTACGGTTTGGTTTGGTTTGGTTTGGTTAGTTTCACAAAATAGTAACAGACACAAATTGCAAGTTTTGTTTGGTTTTTTGTTTTTCCCAGAGTCAAGTTGAAAGATACAGAAAGAGTTTGACATTAGTGTGCGATAAATCAAGAAGAAGAAGGTTATAGCTTTTTTGGTGGATGTGTGCGCGCTTTGCCAGTCAAAACCAAAATCGGGGTAACCTGAAGATAATGGAAAAATGTAGAGGAGAGCAGAGATTCGCGAACGGAAACCAAAAAAATCAGAAGCTGAAAGCTATAGCTTCCGTTTTGTGTATATATAGTATGTGTTCGGGTGATTCGGGGGATTTATAGTTCCAATAATCGATCAGGATCGTAAGTAGGTCTCACGGTCTCTTCCTGAAAGTTAGCGATACGCTTCAACATCGGGATTAGTACTTAAGTTTAGTTATAGATCTGACGATCCGCAATCGGATCAATTTTAAACATACGCTAGATACACTTTATTGCCCAACATTTAACCATACATATGTGTATATATAAGTATATAAATTTACTTTTTCATCAGTTAACACTCGCTTTCACGCCCTCAATTCGGCATGAAATGTATATATATATAATATATATAACTACCTACAACGTCAATTACCTCGCTAATGCGCATTACACTTGCAATTAATTATAAAAGGAACCCATAATATTGTTAATGCTCAAGATTTAAAGCCTTGGAGGCGGCGTGCGAACCGCAATTATTTCTTTAAGCTGCCTTAAATACCTAAATACGCTTTACGATTTTTTCACCTCCCCAAAAGTCCAGCAATCTCCTGCCCGAGAAATGTTTTCCTCTTTCAACTATTACAACTAGGTATAAATATTTCAATTTCAATTTCATTTTCAATTTCCATTTCAATTTCAACGCATTGTTTGGTATTTTTGTTTATTGCTAATTATTTGCAGCAGTCACTTGGCAATGTTCCAATATTCAAGATTAAGACATATTTCGATATTTGATATTCGGATCCGTTTGCAACAATTTTCTCGTATTCCACTAGTAGTTTAAAAATGACATAGTTTTTATCAAATTCTTATTGAATCTCGTGTTTAGTTTACGTTTACATATAATTTTTGTTTTCATTGTAAAAATGAAAAAAGTCCTAACAAAATGTTGTTGCTTCGATAAATGGCAGTTATTTTGGCTCATTACGTGTGTTTTGCTAATTGTTTTTATTTCCGTTTCCTAATTGCAAGTTAAAGTTTTCGTTCGTAATCTATATTCGATTGTGAAACCTTCCAAATTATTCAAAAATAATAAACAACTTAAGGCCCAAGTGACTGCGATCGTTTAAAGGCTTTTCCAGCCTTGGGAAATCTCACAAGGTTCCCAAAAAACAAAAATCAAAACTTAAGCATTTTACGAGGCGAACAAAGTCAAACATGCTTGGTTTTTTTTGGGATTTTGGTTTACTGGTTTCAAAGGTTTCTTTTTTGGTTTATGGTTTTTGGTTTTCTGGTTAGTAGGTTGCTTGGTTGGTTAGTTGGTTGGTAAGTTGGTTGGTAAGTTGGTTGGTGTCTTCACTATTTTGGAGGTGGCGGCGCTGGGACGTAGACCAAGGTGGATACACATACACGGGTGGCAAATTGCGGCCCCTGGCGCCGAATCTCCTCTATTGCAATCGCATTTGCAGCAGAAGAGATCCGACGCACTTAGCCTGGGAAGCAGGTGCTATATAAACGCAAAAGTTTCTATGAACCAAGTTCTTTTTAAGGAAAAACAACGAACGGGGAACTCTACAGTTGGTTTGGCAGGGGGAATTACTTAAACATTAAACAAAAATCATACAAGTTCGACTTCTACGAAAAGGGTGCAAACACAAATTCGGATTTCAGGCTGCAAAAAGGAGGTTTAGCATTTTAATTTGCTCTAACATCTAAGCGCATCATGGAAGCCAAGTGAGTCTCGCAAATGTGCCACAATCAGACTGTGAGAGGAGATTCCCTCAAAGTTTAAAATCAAGGCTGCAAACTTTTAAATTTATTCGGTCCGTTGGCTCGAACATTCAGTTGGGGGAAAATATTTACTTTGCAAATCGAAGCCAAAGAATTTCCTTTGATAAATTGCCAGAAACAAAGTGCTCAAGCAAAGCTGTTCATTTTTAACCAAATTAAAATTCAAACTTTCTTGTTTATAAATCCAAAATAATCCTTAAGTGCTTCTTGTTTACATTTTAAATAATACTAAGCATATAATTGGTGTGTCTTTTTACCAAGGCAATATTACAACTTAAGATTTAATGCCACGTGCAGTTGAAATTTTCCAAAAGCCGAACCTTTTGAAAAGAGTTCGGTTACAAAATCGGTTTGCAGCCTTGACAAAAGTATATATACAATGCAAACTATTAAGCCCTTATGATTAGATCCTAAACGAAGTAAACTAACTAACTAAATCATATTTTTGCTTATTTTTTCTCAAATAAAGAGAGAGGAGATTCCGGAAAGTGGACCCTTAGCAAAAGCGTGAAAGCAGTAGGAATGGGGCTGGCCAGTTCCCAACCTTATGTACAGCGCCTAACAACCGATCGAGGAGGAGCAGCAGGCTAAACCCTACTATATCCCTACTATATCGGACCACCAAACGGACCGAGTGGGCGTGGCAGCTGCTGGGTAGTGCTGCGTACTATGACGAATCGCTGCCCGCCGCATCTTCGATGATCGAATTTAAATCGATGTTGAACGAGTACTCGTAGAGATTCGAGTAGCGATCGCGCTCCTTCCACGGCGACCGGTGATTCATATAAAGATTTCGTTTACTAACACGAAAGATCTGGCTGTCCTTGATCGACTGATCGTCGTCGCAGGGTTCACCGCCACCGCCAAAGTCACATTCGCGGATGGTCAGTCGATTCGTCGGCGACTTCAGTTCGAACATCACCTCCTGATGCTTATACGGTTTCCTCATTGGCAGCGGTTGATAGCCAGCTATGTTGACCTTCTGCGAATCCACCGACATCGTCGACTGGCGACGCATCCCGCGCGCCTGCTTCGGAAACGGATAGTTCCGCATCAGATTGGAGTCGGTGCTGCGCTGCGGCGAATAGTACTTGAAGTCCGTTGGCGCCGGCGGCTGGGGCGCCGAGGTGTGTATGGTGGTCAGGGTGCTGTTGCTGGCGGAGATCGCTCCGCTGGCCTGCAACTGCAGCGTCGACGGTCGTCGCGGCGCCAGCGGCGGAGGAGCAGTGGCCAGGGAAACGGACACTGAAGTGGGTGCTGTTGTGGTGGAGGAAGAGGAACCACCACCACCACTGCCAGCACCACCTCCTGTATTCGTAGCCGTCGTTCCTGTACCACTGGCGCCGGATGCCACTGCTGCAGCCGCTGCTGCCACACTCCCAATGGCGGTGGTCTGCTGCGCGTGGACATGGTGGTGCAGCAGCGGCAGCGGCGAGTGGCGCACATCATCGTACGACGGTGTCAGCGGCAGGTGCAGCGATCGCTTCAGGTTCAGTCGATAGGAGGAGGACGTGGCCGGTGACCGGAGTAGCGATGGGGAGTTACATGGCATGGCATCGTAGTGATGCTGCTGCTGCTGCTGCTGCAGTTCGGCGGCAACGAGATGCTGCTTGAGCTGCTTGTGCTTGTTGCTGTGCTTCTTGCTGGCCTTGAACTGCTGCTGCGCACTGGCGGGCAGCAGGGTTTGCAGGGAGCAGCGCTGCTGGTGCTGCTTGCGTGACTTACCGTTCTGGACAAGATCGTAGCTGGGCGGCGAATGGTCGAAGCCGTTGCCATGGCCATTCCCATGGCCATTGATGGCACCTCCGTTGCCCTCCAGTGTCGAAGAGGAAGGATTTGACTGGTTGGTTGGTTGGTTGATTGTTGATTGTTGAATCGTGGTGTGATTGTGTCGATTTGTGGTGTATGATTCGAGTAGTAGTAGTAGTAGTAGAAGTAGTGGTGGTTACCAAAAAGAACATTGCATAGAACACAAAAAAAAAGAAGAATTCGAATTACAGATCGTCAAAAATGATGTGCAGACAAAAGGTTCTTCGTACGAGAGTTTCAATTTTCGGTACATAAGTTTGTTAATTAATTAAAAGGATCAAGCAAGCAGAGTGCCCAGACATTTAGATATTTTTAGATTTTGGTGGTGAGAAGGGGTGCGCTTGGATTGGCTCAATGTGGCCGGTGAGTTCACCGCTTACCTCGTCGTAGAAGCGGGGCTTCAGCTCCGCCCCACCGATGCTAATACCGCCGCCGGCACCACCGATCCCACCCATTCCGCCGCCGCCGCCGCCGCCCATCATCGGCTGCGAGGTGGTGACCATGTGCGAGGCACTCAGGACATCGCTGAGTGCGTGCCGCGGACTCGACTGGTGCTGCATCTGCTGGATGAACTCGTCGGTGGCGATTCCCCGTCTGTCGTGGTGGAGTTATTTAATATTATTTGAGTAACTCCGCTGGGATATTCTTACCTATCAATCAGCGAGGGCGTCATGGGTCCGCACAGGATGTGGCAGCAGTTCAGACAGATGTTCCCCCGCGAGTAGGGATTCTGGGTGCGGGGACCGCCTTTGGAGGAGAAGGATCCCTTGAGCTGTGGAGAGCAGCGGATTTAATTGGGATACAGATTCATTTTATTAGAGGATTTAAGTTGGAAATCGTTTTAAGTTTATCTTAAAGCTGTGTTGAATGATTTTGCAATCTGTTGTTTTAAATAATTTTAATTAATAATTTTAATACCAATATTTGAAATAAAGTTAGGCAATTAAATTAAATTAAAAGAGAAAATTTCAATAGTTAATAAAAGCTAAGCTTTCTAAAATTTTCATTTTAATTTTACTAACATTGTTACTGTTAATATTAATATTAATTAACGTATGTATTGTATGCGATGGTCACACTTCTAATCTCTGGAGAGAGGATGTGCTCTCTCGAGGGAGGAAGAAGCTTAACCATAACGGGGGTTTTGGTCAGTTCTAATTGAGCGTCACGAGGAGAATGAATAAATAGGTCCTGATACATATTGTTACTATTACTAATAATTCTAAATGTATGTATGTATGTATCGATATATTATACTCACATCCTCGTTGGTTGTCTGATCGCTAGTCGTCAGATAGGTATGGAAGCCGGCCAGGCCGATCACGGACCATATCGAGAAGAAGCAAATGAACACAACAATCACAGTGAAGGGCGCCTTCTTGATTACTTCGAAGACCTCCTGCTCGGTTTTCATCACTGCAGGCGGTATAAACATGAATAAATCATCTAGTTTATGGCATGCCATGGCATTCCATTGTGTACTCACATAAAACTAAATGCGTCACAGAGCACGAGAATATAAATACAGCTAAAAATGCCAATGAGACTAGAAACAAATAAAAGAACCGATAATTCCGCTTGCCCACGCAGTTTCCCACCTGAAAAAATGAAAACATTTACTTGGTTATAAAGACAAAACAGACAAAATAAAGTCGGTAACAAAAATCTGTGTTGAACCCGCCAGCATAATAAGGTTAATTGCATTTTCACGAGATGTGTGTGGCATTACCAAAATTACGACCGAGAAATGCCTTAATTTTCACCCCCCTTGTAACGCCATCCAACCATCCAACCAAACCCTTTGAATTCGCGAATGGCGGACGGCGAACTGCGAACCAAAACCCCAAAAGGCTCGAGTCGACCTTCAAGCCGTCAGTTGCGATTGTGTCGGTACTTTCGCTCCTCCAGGGCTTTAAATTACGCCCGAGCACAAGTAAATGAAAAGGGGCGAGATGGCAAAGGCATGACAGCAACACTAACTGAGGAAGACTTGATTTCCAGCAGACAGCGAAGTTTATACTCTTTATTTAAAGAGATTTTCCTTTTGGAAAGAAAAGCAAACAGTTGAAATTGAGACATACTTCAATTAAAAATAATAACCTGAATATTGCAACTCTAACGATGTAAATATCAACTGCTTTCTGAAAAATAGTTCAGGTTATGGAAAAGAAAAAAGTTTGTTGTCTACCAATAAGTTCTTAAAACTTTTTCAGTATAATTTAAAGCGCTTTAAATTTGAACACTTGATTCCAGCACATTGCTTTAACTATGGTCCCCTTAATGATGCAATTATTTTCATCATAAATTAAGTACTCATTGCACAGAGATCACAGAAAATGTGAAAATTTATCAGGTTGAGTGGAAATGAACGCTCAACTTAGCGTGAATTTTTAATGGCCTAACTGACCTTCCTCAAGTTAAATGGTTTGCAGGTCAATATAAATTGATTGTGAGGGCTAAAATCAAGGTAAAAACCATTTTCAAGCTGAAAGACACTGCAAATCAATATTGTCGTGGGACACGAAAGAAGAAAAGCCAAAAGCAATCAATTAGAAAATAATCACATAAATAGTTAAAGTGATTTCTTTTAAGGTTGCACAACAATTGATAGAAAGGACAATCAATTAATGAATATTAATATTTAAATAGCCGAGCTTAATTTAAACGCTCCATTTAACTGTGAATGGCGAGTACTTGTTCATAATCCGTAAGGGTATGTGCGATGATTTGGGTCCCCTGGGGATATTGGGCCTTAAGTAAGCACCTACCTCTGCCCCAAAATGTATGCTACACTCCCCCCGAAAACATAACCATCACAAATATGAGTGCGGCTACTTAAGTTAGTGTGTGTGTGTCTGTGGCTGGGGTTTTTTGTGCCAGTGTGGTTTGTTTGCTTGGTCCTGTCCAAACACACACCACCACATCTTGTTGCATCAGCGCGTCGCTGGCGGGGATAAAAAAAAATCAGAAAGAAAAAAAAACAGCAAAGGAGCGGGGAGTCCGAGTGCGCTTTTTATACGTTCCAGCTTGAAAAACGTGACGTGCGCTCGACTGAAATTATTTTTGCTAAAAAATTAGCAACCTCAGCGGTTGCAGCTGGAATTGGGTTAAAGTCAGCGACGACGACGAGAGGCTGGCAGTTGGTTTTGTGGCCCACTTTTCACCAGCCAGCGTTTCTAATGCGGCGCGGCGCTTGGCTCAATGTCAGTCGGCCGAAAAGGGAGGAGGTGCGTTGGAAATCTTTGGGGACAGGCTCTGTCGCCAGCTTTAGCTGGGAAGTGATTAAAATTGCGCCATTCCTAACGAGGTACCGGGTGTCCTTGTCAAGGATACCTTCTACTACTACTAACTAAGAATTAAAAGCTACTCACCCAGGGACAGTGGTGATCGAAGCGGTCCACGCAGTTGTCGCACAAACTGCAGTGCGAGGCTCTTGGCGGCCGGAAGATCTTGCAGGTGAAGCAGTACTTCAGCTTGACCGTCTGGCCCTTGACCAGGACCTCCTTGGTCCTTGGCGGCGGTCGATATGTGGGGCTGTTCAGCGAGTTTGGCACCTCTGCACGTGGTTGTTGTTCCATCAGGGATTCGGGTTATCCACACACACCAAAACACACACACATACGGGATTTATCCAGAACGACAACGCAGAGGAAATGCAGCATCATCGACAGCAGAAGGTTTGTTGACATGCAGGGGGAAAGAGCAAAAGTTTTCTCATTTTAAATATTTTCGTACAAAGGCAACAACAGCAACTCATTAGTGCAAAGGCAACGCAGCGTTCGCCTTTGATGGTGATTTTTATACGGCATATATATTTTTTACCCATTCCTTTTTTTTCTTATTTTTTTACGAGCGCGTTTTATTTTTTCATTCTATGTCATGCCACGCTCATTACTTTTTACGTTACGTGCTCCTCTTCTTCTTCTCCTCTCCCCTTTCTCTCCCACACACACACATACAAACTTAATGAAGTGAAAACAAATATATACATGAGTGTCTGTCTCTCACTCTCTCTCTATCTGTGTGTGTGTGTGTGTTTAAGTGGGCGAGTGTTTGGCAAGGGGCGTGGCAGTTAAAGGAAGGAAGAAGGAGAAGGAGGATATTCAGGCAACAGGCAGCAGGCGACGACCTTGGCCACGTTTCCTTTTGGATGGACGCGAGGACTTCGACTGTGCGCCCGCGACTGTGATTCCAATTGCTACAACTACAACGGGACAACGGGGCGGATGAGTAACGTACCAATTTGCTTTTCGATATAGGCGGCCTCATCGTTGGAGGCACGCGGTATGACGCCCGGATCCGTGAAGGTTGTGCGCAGCAAGGAGCTCATCGTGAAGAAGTAGAGGACAGCTCCCACAATCGGAATGGCCGGATTTATGCTGTCCGCCAAAAAGGGACAGCTGCAACGATAACGAAAAGGCACAATGGAAATATATCATTAATCTAATGATGTTTCTGTCATCAAGGTTGTGGCAACATCTTGATTCGGGTTGATTGTTTCAGTAAATGGAGCAATAAACTAAGGGCATGTCAATAAAAGAAGATATATTGAAGGTTTTCAGTAATTATGGTAATAAAGTAGGCATTTATTTATAAAGGTAATATGACTTTTTAAGATTTCTTAAATAACTTTAAATGAAGCTAACCATTTAGGCGGTTTAATATTTGAATTTTTATTTAAATTGATGTAGGATATACAAATAATACCAAAAGGTTTCTAGACTGAAGAAGTATTTCTGGTTTAATCGATGTAATGGAACTAAATTGATTAGGTAGCTCCGATTGAATGAAACATTTTTAGCCTCCCGAGCATTGAATTCTGTCTAAGCTACAAATAAGTTATTTTCGGGAAAGCCCCAATTTGAAACTTAATTCCCTGAATCTACGGCTCGCCTGCATAATGCCAGAAGTGCATCAAATGTCCCAAATGCAGGCACTGGATTCCCAGCACCAGTTTGTGGGCGACTGGCCTGCTCAAAAATGCATGGAAATGTCTCCGGTGATTTGGCAATGCCCCAAATGTGGGAACCCGAGTAAATGTGCCCCCGAAACGCGGAAAGTCCCATTGGGGAACAGGGTGGGCAGGATGCGGTGGATGAGGGGCCAAGGGACCAAGGGACCAGACAATACCCGGCCCAGCATTGTTACTTAATGCCCGATGCGTGACAACGATTTGTGAATAGCAAAAGTCGCCGCAGCCACCAGCAGCGACTTTCACTCTCCATCGCCATCATCATCATCCCACAAAGGACCCGGGTGCTCAGTGACAATTATGTGTGACAAGTCCCAGATGTACGCGGGTGTAGGCTTCATTTCGGGAACAGTCAGCAGAACAGAAGAACTGAACACCAGAACGGACCGAAAATAGTTAAATACATTTGTCATGACAACACCACTTTCGCCCTGCCCCGCAGTAAAGCTTAAATAGGAATGCATTCAAAACTGCTTTTCTCGCATTCAGCTGGCAAATCGCTGACAATGCCATAGAAAATAGAAAATGGGAAATCCGAAGGAGGGCTCCTCCCGCATTGTGTGCTACCTTTTAGCGATTTGCATTGCCGGAGAGCGTCGAACGAAACACAATTTGGGGTTGCCCACACATCCTCTACATACAAAAAAATATTTTTATTTGCCTAAATCTATCAATGAATTTGGCCAATTTTTACACTTTTTTCTATATTTATTATTCAATTCAATCAAGAACCACTTGCATTTTGTAAAGTTGCAAAATTGAATGTACATCTAGTAAGGTTTAAATATTTTTAGTAACAAAGAAATGTTTTTAGTTAATTAAATAGATTTTTAGCTGGTTGTTGGTATGAAATTACCAATGAAAAATATTACAGGTAAAATTCCAGTTTAGTTTTCCTACTTTGAAAGTTATAATAATGCAAAGTAAAAATCCAAATCGATTGCCATTTGATAAGAAGTAATTACCATCTTAAAAAAGTAGGTTGACTCCTATTTTTATTTAGATCTTCATTATCCAAACTTGAATCCATATTTGCCTCGTTTTTTCGTGTGCAATCGGAGAATGTGTGCGAATATCTAGAGGAATAACTACGCGAGCACTCAAAGGCATTGCAGATATTGTAATGCCCATCCATACTGGATACTGGGGCGCCTTCCACTCGACTGTGCGCTAATGTAAAGCAAGCAATGAAAATAAAATCGCGCTGCAGCCGCCGCTTTTGCTTTTGCTTTTCACCAGCGAATAAATTTGGATCGCACAGAAGGAGCCAGATGTACACATACTATATCCTATAGGTAGGTTTGTGGGGGCGTGGGAATTTCAATTTCTTTGTGGGAATATAGTACCATTGCCGCCGCGCACATGCAATTTCTTTCTGTGGTGCTGAAATGATTTCGTGCAGAAAATGTTGAGCATAATTTTGTCTAATCGCCCTGTCGGTTGTGAATGGGATGCAGCTTTAACGTTGGGTTCCATTTTGTATTTGCACTACGTGACGTGTGCGTTATTTTGTCCAGTCTCCGGAAAAAGAGGGCGAACACACACACCGCCCACGTGCAACAAAATTGAATGTAGTTAAACGTTTGTAGGTCGTTGGGTTTCCATCTACGCACGCCTCCTAGATAGATATTTATTCAGTTTCCATACTGCCCAAAAGCAATCAATTGGACTTTGGTATCATTATTGGAGCAACGTGATAGTTGCGACCAATAATAATATGTTCGAAAATATCTGATTTTCTTTTTTATCATTGTGCTTTTCCCGCATAGGAAAACCTTTTTTGCTTCTTTTACTTCTGTCAGACTTTCGAATTGTGCTTTTTGTTGCTACTATAATCTCCTTTCAGGAATGTAAAAAGGAGAATCGTTTGACTACTTAACATCACAAAGGAGCAAGTCTTTGTTCACTTTCGCCACTATGTGAATTGTTGAAATGTAGCATATTCTTTGGGGCAAAAGGTTTATGCAAAAAAATGAAAACAAAGGAGCTTAAATATAAGGGTATGTTCGAAATAGCAGTAAGTAAGCAGATATTTATAATTTATAACTTTAATTTTCCACCATTAAACACGACCATCATTGTTTAATAGCGGAAAAGTTTAGCAACAGGAAATATAAATGTGTCCCGGATGAACGGGTTTAAAATGAAAATTCTGTTTGAAACTAAACGGAAGGGTGGGCGACAAATTCCTGTGGTTCGCCGTGGCAGTTAACTGGGAAAAGCGAACATGAGAGCATATTTGAATTCCGCACGACCAACGGACAGATTGACAAATCAAAAGCTGAAACTATTTGTCCAGCCATCTCCGCCATCCACTTGGATACCCGTAATTCAACGGATTCAACAGGGACAGAGACATCAAGTTGAAAAAGTAACAGCAGCAGCGGGAAGAGGAGCAACAGCATCAGCAGGAGTCGCAGCTCGGATCACGATGTCCTTTGCCAGCCGAAGCATAACGCATACGCCACGTTGCACAGCAATAATTACATGCCATTGGATACGGAGGAGACGGACGGACGACAGTCGGCAGATCGACGGGCACAAAAGCCGGATGAGAAATCCGTTGGATCCGATGAAACCAGAGCCGGAGTCCAAAGTCAGAGACCATTAATGTGGGCGTAATTGGAAATCAAGCATGACCTGCTGGGACGACAGTCGGTGGCTAGGGAATCGGGGAAAGAGGGGATCGGGGGATCGGGGCATCGGGGATCCGGTGCCACGGAAGGGTTACTGGGCAATGCTTAATTAGCAGCGTATACATTCTGCACACAATGCAACTTAAGGGAGGCCAGCTTCACCCAGACACTCGAATGATGCCACACGGCAAGAAACTTTTAAAACATTTCGATATCTTATCGATTCTATTAATTTTGCCTGGTGAAAATCAAAAATAAAAAATTCATATCAAGTGCAAGTGTGCCTAAAATTGGAACTTGATGTGTATCTTTTCTTATCTGCTGTGCTAATTGTAGCTTTAATAAATGAGCTCATTTATAGATAATGTTGTCATATGCTGCTCATTTTGAGTCATTGAATAAGATAGGGATTTTTTACGAGAATACCTAATTAGCAACTAAATAAAAGTTGGCAAAATGGACAAAACTAATTAAGGCTTTTCAGTGAAAATATGTTTTTCTATTTAATATATAAATATTTTATATACTCATACTTTGGAATAAAATAACTAAAGTTTGTTTTTTTCTTAAGTAGAATATGCAAGTAATTTATGGTAAGTTTCCTATAAGCTTTCTCTCTGTGAACAGACAAATGGGTGAATTGGGGCACGGGGCGGTTACGGGGCGTATACTCACTCGAAGGCAAAGAAGAGCGCACTGGTGCCGGTAATCAGGATGCACGTCAAGTAGAAGACGCCTGTGTGCGGTGCGGACATTAGCAATCCATCGCAGTAGAATTTATTGCGTCCGGCAAACAGTTCCCATTTGCGTGTGACGCGCTGGTTTGGTGCCATGTTACTGCAACAACAGCAGCAGAGCAGATTCATCTGGGCGGTCCTCGGAAATGGGTTTTAAGTTGGGTTTGGTTTGGTTTTGGGTTGCTCTATTCCTGTTCCTGCTTGTGTTCCTGTTCCTGATTTTGATATTTTTCCTCGGTGACAACAGTTCCACTGACTGTGACAGCGACGCCTTTCCTGCTGCTGCTGCTGCTGCTCCTTCTGATGATGATTGTGATTGTGATGATGATGACGTGCGTGGGTTGGGTTTTCGGTTGGATCCTGGGGAAATGGTGGGTTACGCTCTGCCGCCGACAGTTCACCCTGGCTGCAGTTGACGAAATTATGCCGTTTTGCTTGGGGTCCCGACTTCGCCACCTCCCTTCGCCGTCGCCTTCGCCTCCTCCTGTCACAGGGACGTGTTCATGTGTGGCTGTTGCAATGCCTGCGGCACGCAAAACCGACTGCCACGAGATGCCTCCTGCTGGTGTTCCTCCTCCTGTTCCTGTTCCTTCTCCTTATCCTTCTCCTGCTTCCTGGCTGCTTCAAGGTATTTCATGCACACCGGGCCTCTGCTTGTTGTATCCGCTGCTTAAAATGTGCTGTTTTCTGTTTTGGGCTAATAATAATATTTCACTCAGTCGTCGTGTTGTTTTGGGTTTTGTTGTTGAATGCGCGGATGTTTCAGGTGAATTTAATCAAAATTAATGCTTTCCCTTTTGCTGCTGCTCCTGCTGCTTCTACTACTCTTTCTATCCCGTGCTCTTGCAAAAGCAATTTCGTCCACTTTGTTGCGTTGTCCACGGTCCGCGGCATCAGCCACATTGCGTTTCAATTCCCTTCGTTTTATTGCAGCGCACACTTTCGGGCCTCGGCGCCCACTTCCCGGCTTTAATTAAAGCAGGACGCCTGTCATTTCCCTGCAGCCGCCTTGCTTTGCAATCCCTGCCACGCCCCTCCTCCTTCCACCGGAAGTTTGAGGGGGAGTTGTGGAAGTGGAAATGGACCACCACCACCACCAACCAGCACGTTACGTGCGCACACTATACAGCAATTATTTGCTCGGCTTTGTTGATCCTGAATTCGGGGGATCCTTTCGGTGGCCCCGTCCGTGTCCTTTATGATTCAATTATTCGCTATTCGCTGCTGGCGCCACCAACAGTAGTTAAAATTGGCGTTGGCGTCGAATTGGTTTTGGCTGAGTTTTCGGCTTTGGAGTCCAGTTCAGTTTGAGTGGGTCGTTCTGCAAAAAAAAAATAGAGGAGAAAGAGAAAGATGAGAAACTTGTAAAAGGAGTGAGCAACTGTGGAATTGCGAGCAAATATAATCATTAAGTTATTTTGATTAAGAACTTTTGTGCGGGCGCCGACAAAATGGAGCAAAGGAGAAAAGTTCCCGTTCCAGTTATTCCTTTGTACCTTCTTTATTATCGAATTTTAATCGCATTGCCATTGCCCGAGAATTGTCAGTTGGCCAAGAGCGAATGCGTCCGCAATGGGCCAATTCATAAGATAAATTTTATCTTCCTTTTATGCGAACACAATCGATTTGTTATTGCTTGCCAATAAGTTTTCATCCATAATTGTTTAAGGCAAATCGAAAGAAGAGCATTTCCTTATTGCAGCGGAATAAACTTTGCTTTATTAACATTTACTTTGCAAATTTAATAAAGATTTTAAACCCATTTATGTTATTGAATTGGCAATCAATTGCATTTTAATTGAATAAGTTGGTATTTATCATTACACTTGATTGACTAATTAAACAAATTAAGGTCTAAATTGTTCAAAATTGAAACAAAATCAAAGATATTTATTCATAAATACTATTCAACCAAAAGCATTCTTTACAAATGAGAGCAGTAATTTAAATTTTAATTAAACTATGTTTTATTTCAAATAAATATATTGCCTAAAATTGCCAAACATTTTATTGATATTAATTGCCAAAAATACAACAACTAAATTATGTTTTTAGCAACTGCGGGAACATTTTTCCTATTTAGAAACCATTGAAATTAATTCCCGTGGCATGTTTTTCTGGCAAAAGGCGCACTAAATTTGAAATTCACAACCACGATAAATCCAGATCGTTTATTATTTATGCTTTTGCATAAACCGACCAAAGGATTAGAGAGGCGTAGATTATTCACAGCTGAAATGCGCTAATTCGCGGCTTTATGCGAGACGACGACGACGACTGTCGACTAATTGGCGCTAATCAAGTTAAGCATACGCACTGTATGCCGCCATGGCAACAGGAAGTTGTTACTCCTTCTCCTCGACGTCGCTGCACGGTGACTGCGTTGCATTGCGGTTCCAGAACAGAGTCCTTATCTAAGCCAAACAGGCGCGTTTTTGGGATGGCAATAAAACAGCACAAACACACAAACTGGCGAACTCACGAGGCCCCCCGAAAACGAGTGAATGGCTTTTGCATTCGCAATTTGCGTTAATTGGGCACACGCCGCCCATTTAAAAGGGACTCGCAGATGCTGCGGAGTTGGCCTTTCTCAGGCGGCGAAAATGTTTATGCAAATTGTGTTGCAATTATAGCGCCAACGACTGTTCTAATATCCACTGGCTGCGATTATTTGCATGCATTGAAGCTACTCGCAGGCGGGGTGGGCCTCAATTAACATTAACAACAGCTGATGACATGCGCCAAGAAGTGCCAATTAAAGGCACACAAGCGCTACGACTACGCTACGCTGTTCTGCGAGCTATTCAATAAACTCATAAATTGCCTGAAATGACGCAAAGTGCCAGCAACAATGACAACACACTGGGTCCCTGGCAAAAACAATAACCATAAAGTAGCGCCGGCAAAAACAACAGAAGGGCCAAGTTTGAAGTGTGCCACTCAGCGCAAATATGTAAATAAATGGCCACTTGCGGCAATTTAATAGAGAATGTGTGCTGGTGAAAGAGTGAAAGTGAAAGAGTAGAGCCCATTCTTTGGTAATTATCGTGTGTGCTATTAATAAGCTGCAAATAAAAACAACCAAGCGTGCGTGGGTATTAATAAAATGCAGTGCAAACTATTTTATCCGTTTGATTACATTTCTTACACATTATTAGATTATGCTGGAGATTTCATGGATTCAAAATTTAATAAATTTAAATATTGTTAAGCAACAAAAGTCAATCATAAATAACTAAATTATTTTAGTTTAAAATACCATGTCATTTTTAAAATAACTAAAACTAAATACATTTAAGGGACCTCCATGACTATGCATTTAGTTGAATTTTCATTCCGTAAGCTACAAAATAACTTAGTTGTATAACACAATATGTTTACAACATTACATGAATTCTTTCCTTGCAAAAAGCCGCCGCATAAACGTGAATTCACAAACACTTACTTAGCGGAGATGAATGAGCGACCGAGAGAGTGAACAAGAAATACCTAACCGACACTTGGCATTGTAATTGTAGGTTGTGGTTGCGTATACGTATTTTGTAATACATCAAACACTTGAACACCAGTGCTCTTGACGCTCTTGCCCCTCTTACCCCATCTTACCTCTTAGCGCTAGCCGCGGAGCAGCCACTGCCACGCCCTCGCCGCCCACAGCAGCCGCCCACTTTAGCCCACTCACCCGTACTCTCACTCTCGTTACTCATACGCATGCATGGCGAGCACACTTAACATTCAAGAGGGGCGAAGGGGGCGTGGCAAGAGTCTACGCCAGCCATGCGTGCGCGGCGTTGTTGCACGGAAAATTAAATGTTAAGATGCGTTTTAACATGGTTCAACACGAAAGGAGACGTTTATTTAGTTGAGAGTTAGATACAAACTAAATATAAAATATTAATAATTATAAAAAATATTTAATTCCTGAAAAGTTTAAATAAATATGATTTTAAATCAGCTCAAAGCCCAATAGCAATAGCACTTCCCTTAAATAAAAAAGATACTTATTATGCTTTTACTTATATATATTAGGTAAAATTTAATTACTTTATTTTCTTTAAGTGCAATCTTAAGTCGAGACCCTGGCTGCCCCGCAATGGAAGTCGGTTCAGTTCGACTCAACTCGACTGGGATCATTCATTTACGCAAACGCCCCGCTTGCATTCACATTCGCACTCGCCCGCTCGTTCAGCAAACAAACAAACAAACGAACAAACAAACAGCAGACACACTCACATCATGAGTGTCGGACTGCATATGAATAGTGAGTTAGTGTGCGGAAAGATCTTCTATATGTTTGCCAATGGTTTGGTTACTCTGGCATACTGGATGTCGATGTGTCCAGATTACGAATACGGAATTCCTTAAGAACGGAATGAATATATGATAAAACTGTCAATTTCTGCAACGCGAAAAAAATTGAATTCAGTTAATAAATTACCTGATTGTAAAAAGAACAAAAAAATTATAAAACAATGTTCACAAAGGCTAAGTAAATATTTAAATTTAAACTGTTTAAATTAAAAAACAATGGAACTGATTTCTGTGTATTTTTCCCGTTGCATATTTAATAACTGAAACTTCAAATCAATATTTATAAAGCAGGAAACAGTATTATAAACCAATAAGGCTGATGTTTGTTTACTTCTGCTTTGACCCGAAAACTTCAATTAAATAGAACGTCAAAGCCATAATTTCCGCCACATATTCCAATTAATTTCGATTGCATGAGAGTGGAGGCAGGCGGCAAACTAATAACAATCGGAATAGTCGACAATGCCATTCAACTACTACTACTCTTTCAAACGACAATATAATTTAATGTTTTAAAACAGTCGCCCAACTAATAGACCACATCTATGACTTTGTAGAGCAATGGGGAAACGCAAACACATTCTCGGCGATGCCGTTACAACTACACGAACATTTCCTCAAACATCCGACATGGCGTCCATTTCCGTTATGGCAACAAAGCTCGGCACATGAGTACAGTATGGCTGTATGTGTGTGTGAGTGTGTGTGTGTCTGTGTCTGTATTTGCCTTAGCGTTTCCCCATGCCTCTGTCTGTGTAATTGTTGCCGTCACATTTACAGTCGCCGACGCCGCCGCGGCCGTCAAGTCGCCGGCATTGTGACAGTCAAACCTAAAGTCGCCATCAACGATTGCTCCGCGATTCTCCTCCATTTTATTACAAGCACTCACAGAAATAAGGACATGCATCCTTTTGTAAAATATGTTTTATACCTTTAAGGCCCTACTTTGGTAACCTGATTTTAAGAAAGCAATAAGCAAAGCATTTTTAATTCCTGATGTAAATGAATTCTACAAATTTAAAAGATAAAAAAAAATCGTACTTTTTCTTTGGTAAGAAAAAATATGTAATTGCTAAAATACGAATACTTTTTATTATGCAAAATTATAATTTCTCGTTTTATTTTATAATTTATTTTATGAAACTTAACCTTTACAATGTCTTTTATATCGTCTTATAAATTTTTAATATTTAGAAATTAAAAGCTTAATATGGTTTTTTATAAATTCACCATCAAAAGAAATTTAGTAAAATATATGATTGCTTGCTTTAAAATTTCTTTTCAAATATTTCATATTTTTCTTCTTTTAGTGCACATAGAAAAGCAAAAAAAATAAAAAATGTTAACTAAACAAACTATCATTGCCATTGTCACCGAAATTTCAGTTTTATACGACGCTTTGACGGTTACTGTTGTTAATCTTTGCTCATTGTTTTGGTTTAATTTATAAATTCCTGTCCATTTGGCAGATGGCAAGCAACTTTTGTCTTTCTATTTGCTATTCGCTGGAGCTTTTGTGTTTTTAGAATGCTGTCGTTGGTTCGTTGTTTGGTTTCCCTCTCAGATTCTGTTTCAGTTTCTATTTTCATTTCCATTCCTGTTTCTATTTTTGTTTCAGGTTGAGCTCGGTTTTGGTTTGTTTTCGTTTTGGTTAGTGTGTGCAGAGCAGCAAACTGTTCAAATGTTCAACTGTTCCCCTGCTGATGAACTGAGTCAGCGTTTGTATTTTATTTGTGGCAAGTCGTCGACTTAGATGCGACCACCGTCCACTGCAGTAGTGGGCAGAATTAATTGTCGTTTGCTTTGCCATTTGCCATGTTTGCACAGATGCAGCAGTCTGCGAACGATAATGATTTGCACAGTTTTTGCTTAGCCACAACCTACCCCAGTGTGACAATTGTTATGACAATCAGAGATAAGTGCTGGCAAAAGTTATAGAAGCAATGTGAAATATTAAAATTGCTGCCCCACCAAACTATCAGTCAAGTTTTTAGTGTTTTCTCTCATTTG